TCTTCGTTGCTTTAAATAATTCAATCTTGAATTACTAATATATACTATATATGTACATGCATATACATATATCATATTGTGGTCTTTTTCAAACTGCGCGCCGAATTATTTTTTCCGAACTAAATAAACGCAATTAAAACTACTCTAGTAATCGCGAATTAAATTGACAAGCAATTTAATAATTTGATGCTACCATCAAGCATCATATATTATAAAGATGTTAATATATTAAAACTGTTAATAAATTTTATGTAATAGGCATTTTAAATTTCTAGTATTGATTGTGTTTCTCACATATACGGTCTAAAATAAAGATATTGTTAATTTTATTTTGTTTTAAAAATATAGTGTAGAAAGAGATCTATAATACGATTTTTGTCGGAAAATTTTTGAAAAATGAATTTTTGAAAATTTTTACTTTCAAACCACTTTTGCATCCATTATGAAATTGAATTATTCCAATTCTTTCGATATTAAAAATTTGTCTCCTCGACATTGTGGAAAATCTTATGATAGTGTAATATATCGATATATTTTTTTGGTTTATACTTTATACTTTAACGTATTTCTGTATTTTATATTACATGTATGTCAGGTTTCCTATAAAATATTGCAACGATTCGACTAAAGTCGGTCATATCCAGCTGAAAATCTTCACAATTTAAAAATGTGGAATTATTTTTTGAAATACTTCGTATCGCGTATTGTATTTCAGTTATTCGCGACAACATTCGCTTTAATTTCGCATGAGAAAAACAGATATTTTCGTAATACATCATGTGAGGAATCATCTTGAAATCTCTCGGCTTTATCGTGCGAGCGAAACCGACATGTTTTTCCCGCTTTAATGAAGTCCACTGACCTCTACGTGCTGCACTTCTTATTTGTCCGACCAAACACCGCGGCTGTAGGTGATGGAATTAAATATGCTTGCAAAGTTAAAATACTCGGAGCACTACAAGGAACGCATAAATAAGTGGTCGTAATGCGTCTTGGACCGATGAAAAGTCACGCTTCCTTCCGAGGAAATTTCCCTCGTCTTTCTGGAGATCTTTCCTCGGAAAGACGAGTACTTTTTTCCCTCACTTCCCGCGTTCTTCGGTGAAAGCAGACTGACGCGTATTACCGAGAGAAGGCGTGGAAAATCCTTTTATTTCGGCCGAGATCGCGGCTGTCCCGCCCGCGGCGAACTTTGAACGTTCCTTCTCGTAATGATGAACTCGACTTCGAGAAAGTTTCAAACGATCGTTTCACGAACTTTTCCTCACCTCGGCCTCGACGTCGCGACGACGCGCGATAGCGACCGCGCGAAAGACCACCTACGGCCATTTAGTCCATTAAATACCGTCACACAGTATTTTTTAAGGATTAACAAAAATATCTGGTAGTTACAAAAGGAGTTACTGGCTTAATATTTTGATTTCTGCTTTTATTTTTAAAATTAATTGTTTATATTTACTTTACATTGAAAAAATGTACTAAATTTTAATAAGTATTTATTTAAATAATACTTAATATTTATTATATGTAAACATATATATTTATTTAATACAAGAACCATTAATTTGATCTAACTACATTTTTATTGAGAAAATATTTATTTATCATAAATAAATCTTTAGTTTGAACTATTGAAAAAAATATGTATTAAAATTTAGTAAATTTTTTCTCAGTATACATTACGTTTATATAGGGTGTTTCAGAAATAGTTGGCCAAATTCGAAGAGCATATTCTACTCATTGTAAGGATAAAAAAAGAGTCATATAAACATGGGTTCGGAAACGCTTCCTTTCCAAGTTATAAATATTTCTTATTTAAATTGTATATATTTACGTCAGACGGCATGCTTCGCTTCGACGTGTAGAATTAGCGATATGCGTATAGAATTTAAATAGCCAATCATAAAGTAGGAAAGGCAGTAATGACGGAGAAGCGTTGAGCATTGCGTGGAGAGGTAATGTCGAAGACGGACGGGACCAGCGGATATCGAGAAATGAGAAGAGCCAAACTCGAGCAAGAAAGAGGGTCCAAAAGAGAGCATATCGAAGACCCGGAGGCTTGAAGCAAACGAACTGGTTGTAGCCTAAGACGATCTTTTACATTGACAGAGGAACCGAATATTTGACCCCGCACGAGCAGGATGTACCCACCCGCCTAAAGAGATGCTGTTTATTGCTATCAGAAAGGCAAGGACGTGGCTTGGTGTCTTGGAGCAACTGGCGGAAGCGATTTTCTCCTGGATCGACTCTCTTCTTCACGCACGCTCAGAAACGCATAACAGATACGTAGCACGAAATAATCATTGTGTCGCGGTACCGTCGACTTGCGAGTCATCACGATCGTTTGTGTATGTTAAAGTTTATATTTATTTCCGACACGAACGAATTGGTCGCGACGAGCTTTGAACACTCCGTGTAGTGAATGCGAGCATATTGACAAAGGAATCCAATGTCGAGCTTTGACTATTGTTTCTTTAATAAAAGAGTGATAATTTTCCGAAGCAAATTACTCAGTGATGTCATTATAGTCTATTCGAATTCACGACTTAATTTCTCTTCTATTAGAATATAATCACATATCGTAATTTTTATATTTATGTGATGTGAGTTGGTTTCTATAGTGTTATTTTAGTATTTCGTATAAAGTATCTAATCACGTTACAGACGTTCCATGAATTGTACTTCTATTCACTTTCTAAAATAAATACAGAGTTATTAGATAGGTCTTTATGGAATTGGAATCAATCTTTATTTAAACATTTAAGAGTGAAGATAGTACTCATCAATATGACAGCTTATTCTAACATCGAATTGGCAGATATCCACATGTATGAGCGAGCTAATGGAAAGCAGAAAAGCTCAACGTCTCTATCAACAAATCTTCCCTCAAAAACGATGCCCTGCTAAAAACACCTTCAGTTCGGTCCATCGTCGATTTAGGGAAACAGGACTCTCTCTTACCCAATACAGTTAATCGAGGACGAAGCAGAACCATTCGAGCAGCTGCAATCGAAGAGCAAGTGATTAGACGAGTCACAGAAAATCCAAGATTTAGTACGAGACAGATCGCATTAGAAATGCAAAACGTTTATTTCTCAACTGTGTGAAGGATATTAAACTCTTTTGCATCCTTATCACTTATAACGAGTACAAACTCTCTTACCAGCGGATTATCCATCACGAGTAATTTTTGCTCAGTGGTATTTGCAACAGTGTACTTTCCAAATTTTCCAAATTTTGAAGTGTCGATACTTTTCACAGAGGAAGCAAATTTTTCGCAGAATACTATAACAAATTATCATAATAACCATCTATGGTCATACGAAAATCTGCATGGTATTATTGAATCTCAGCATCAGCATAAGTTTTCGTGCAATATATGGGCTGGTATTATTGGAGATTTTCTTTTTGGACCGATTTTTCTCCTACCTACACTTAATGGTAATAACTACAAACAATTTTTGGAAACGCAACTCCCTCTAATATTAGAAGACGTTCCACTACAGATACGCAATCAAATGTGGTTCGTGCATGATGGAGCTCCAACACATTTCAGCCGCACTGCTCGAGAGTTCCTGAATAATAATTACATCAATAGATGGATTGGTAGAGGAAGACCTATTGCTTGGCCTGCACATTCTCCCGATTTGAATTCTTTGGATTTTTATTTATGGGGACATCTTAAGATCCTTGTGTATGATACCGCTGTTGCTACTGTGGAAGTACTCCGAAATCGTATTATCCTATGTGTGAAAAAATGAAATACTCCGAGAATTTTGGAACGTCTTCGACAATCTATGCGACGTCGATGCGAAGCATGCATCGATGCGGAAGGAAATCATTTCCAACACTTTCTGTAATGAAAATACAAATGTAAGTAATAAAATAAGATATAGGTATAAGTACAAAATAAAAAAATGTTTATAAAAGGAAGCGTTTCCGAACCTATGTTTATATGACTTCTTTTCCTTACAATGAATGGAATATGGTCTTAAAGTTTGGCTAGCTATTTCTGAAACATCCTGCATATATAATAATGCATGTATTTTATTTTTTATTCTATTGCACTTTACTTTTATGTGTAAATATCCCATAAAAAATTGTTCTAGCTAATAATTTCTATAAATTATATATTTTTAATATTGTATATATTTTAATTATTTATTTTTTTGTATTTTTTAATTCATGTAATTTTTATATTTTTTATCTATATATGTATATATTTTTTTTGTATTATATTTATAATCTTTCAAAACATTCATCTGTCTAATATTGTAAACTATTATGCAAGATGTTATTTTTGTATTCATCTTCTTTCTTGAATACATCAAGGCAACTTCACTTCAGCAACAATTTCAAAGTTTAGTTGCCGTCTATGGAAACGTATTGAACACTCGACTGCTTCGTCGTAACGTCGCCAATGTAGTGCAAAATCTGTGGAAAGCCGCATTTCCACAATGCCACGATCGCGCTGATTGTGTGGTGCGCAATAGAAAACAAATGCATAATTTAAACTCAAATATTGCACCTCCGCATAACCGTGTGACTTTCAATTAAAATTCACATTTGATCATAGCCGAAGAAAAACACTCGTGATTATGATTTCATTCGAATTCGAATAGGATTTGTTACTAAATACTAAAAACTGTAATTTTTATATGAACTATAAGCTGAATTACAAACGTTGCACAATATTAATACATAATCAAAGGAAGCAATTAAAAAATGCCATTTGCATTCCATTACAGAACTACTATTATAACCATATCCTATTAATTCTCAATTTTATTACGTTAAATACTTGTGATATCTACAAGAATCATTACTTATAATTTGTTTACATTAATTTAATATTACTTATTGGTTTAATAATTGCTTTAAATATAGCTCATCGCTTTTTCAAATTGATTAGAACAGATTTTACATACGCGTCATTGTCTCTTTCCACTGAAAAGGATCAATCATTAAAGTATGAAACGCGATGTACTTTTTTCTCATAGATGGTCAAATATTACCAACCAGCCGACGTCAGGAGGTATCTGCGAACGGCACGTTGGTGCTGCATCGAGTCGATAGCAGCACCGATCGCGGCGCATACACGTGCACCGCGAAGAACAAGCAAGGTCGTTCCGATTCGCAGACCATTCACATAGAAGTCAAAGGTAAAGTCTATCTCGCTCCTGCACATGAATTGATTTTCTTTTTTCTCGTTTTCTTCCGTACGCACGAAGATTTTATCCGTTTAAATTGGAACAATAGTGTCCCGCAAAAATGTGTGCATGCGTCCCAGACGTCGTTCAATAATGACGGTGATCCGCTCTACCGAGATTCTCCACGATGTCGTAGCTGTAATCGCGATGAAGTGCTTTCAAGATGAAGTGCCGGGACGTCGACTCGACTTATCGGAAAAAATTGCTCGTCGACGCATCACATCTTTCGCAGATTTGCCACGCGTCGTTAGACGTAAGAGTCGCGAAACTCTTTTCGCATTTTCTGTTGGCCACTTGCCGATCGAATTTTGAATCGAAAAATATTCAGTAGCGATTTGGGGAATTGTAATAAAACGTACAATATATCATTCAGAAATACGAATATAGTTCAGAAGCTATCGCAGGGTTTATAATAGCAAGCGGCTAATAAAAGAATATCGTATCGACATGAAATGTGGTCGATGTATCTCTTTTCGTAAGGGAATTTTAAATTGATAACTGTGCGCGGAATCGTTTTGTGGATTTTTATCCTGCATATCGAACCGAACGACAATTTTCCTCTCGATATGTGTCGTACGGGCTCGATACCGCGGAGAATCACCGTAGAAACGAAAATTTGTAGCACTTCACGCGTGTAATATAGTGCGTTCCCGTGGGTATAATACAAACGATAGGTAGAGATAGAAGAACTACAAGTACATGTTTTATTTTGCGAGATCGAACAGGACTCTTCTGTCTAGTGCATGATAGAAACTGCGGCGAAGTTTCTGTGATTTAAAAAGAAATCCCCCCGTCTCGCTTCATTTCTGTCACGAGAGAAACTCGTACCTCTCCATTTTGCTGTAAGATTCTCTCTCGAAACTAGAATATTTCGAGAAATAAATTATTTCGCGTAGAACTTCCATACGCATTTACATTCTTAATGTCCATGAAGTACAGATTTATTATCATCCTAATACATTAACCATAGATATAAAAGCAATTACATGTAGTTTCAAAATTATGACAGCCCTGTGAATTCTTCAATTAGACGGAAAAAAAAATTAATTGCAACAGCAAAAATTTACGTGTGGTAGCTAAATTCCAGTCGTAACATATGAATGCCTAACATCGTATCTGCGAGGTCTAATTTCCATTAACTGTGAGACCTAAATATTATTATTGTAACAGACAAGCATTTTGCTATTATGTCGATCTATTGATCATTTCAACAAACGTTTTTTGTGTAGCAGACAATTTGGTAGCAAATACAGTTTCAGCAAACCATATTTAGCTGTGGTAGAAACAATTTTCTTTTACACAGACATATCCGATATCTATGACAACTAACTTCATGCTGTTAATAAATTGATCTGCAACAGACATGCATACTTTGCTATCACGTCCTTATATTAGCAGCAAATCCTTTGTATGTATTAGCAAATTTCATAGCTATAGTAGTTAATTCAATTTCAGCTAATCAGAATCAGCTGTAATCAGCAACATTTTTTTTCCGTGTATGTAAAATCCATAAAGTTTTATTATAAAAGTCTATCAAGTTGTAGTTAAATTATTAATAAAAGGATATTAAGATATCAAATTGAATATTTATGGAAGTTTATTACGAATCGAGAAGCTGGAGAGGTCTTCTTTTCACACTGATTAGGCGTTTCCTTTTCTATTGTAACGATAATTGAGTGCACTATACAAAGTTTATAATCGCCTCAACTGATTAGGGATACTATTGTTCCCCGTTAAATAACATTAATACTGGAATATTTTGTAACAAATTTTCTAACTTACAATTCATGTTTGAGAGAATAGATAATATAATTTAGCTGATATTATTTTAAAAATTTCCTTAGATTAGTGACAATTTCAGATGCATGACTTTTATGCTGCGATCACGTCGAGCAAAGCACGCAGGTAGGATATGTAAAATGTGCTTGCGATTTTCTCTGAAAAAATTAAATCGCGCAATATTGAAACTTCTCATGTGCCGCAAATCCGAATCTGTTGGGTCGAGAGGATATCGAATCGGATATATGTATATGGTTATATTGAATATTTCTACTAACTGGTATTTTATGTAAAGTTGCAAATGTAACGGTTCCTACCGTTTTCTTCAGCATCGTTCAGAAAATTACATCAGAGACCAAAGAAACACGCAACCTCGAAAAATACGACAAAATTAATTCTTAAAAATAATTCAATATTCTATAATAACCGAATATACTATTGTCTTCTGCTATAAGTTATTGAAATAATACGTAACAATTGTCGGTTTCTCCAAGAGATTCCTTCTTCTCTCGACTCCTTCCGGCGCAACGCGATGCGACGGAGATGATGATGACGACGACGACGATGACGATCGCACGTCGTCGCGATGTGAAATAAACTCTCGTGCTTCCTGTAATTTGCAGTACCGCCTAAAATCGATCCGTTTAGCTTTCCCGACAATATCCAAGCGGGCGCGCGGGTGCACGTGACCTGCGCGGTCAGCGAGGGCGATTCACCTCTGAAGATCACCTGGCTGAAGGACGGCAGGCCGTTGAAGCCGCGGGAGGCTACCACGCACCAGATCGGCGAGTTTGATCTCGCGTTGAGGATACAGAGCGCGTCGACCGCGCATAACGGCAACTATACTTGCGTAGCAAGCAACGATGCCGCCAAGACGTCCCGCACGGCGTCCCTCCTGGTCCATGGTACGCAGCAACCGGCCAAACCGTCAGATGCCATGCTGGAAACTCTCCCTGTCCCTCACAGCCTACGTTTTCCCCGAACTTCCCACTCGAAAAGAAAAATTCGAAGCATCGTTTCACGAACTGTACTTTTATTTTTAATTTCTCTTACCCACGCAGGACGATTTCCGGCAAGGACATAGTATAACAGTGAATTATTACATCCTTATTGTTTGTAATATTAAACAAGGATAAAATAATCCACTGTGTTATATTGTGTCCTTGCTAGAAAACACCTACAGATGTAAAAAGGTTTTCATTACATCTCGATTTATATTTACTTGAATAATTTAGATGTAAAAATTAAAAGTATCTTAATTCTATCATTTTACGTGCGTACACAATGTACAGTTAAAAATTTGTCTTCTTAAGTTCTAAAATATTAAGAGATTTATCGTGATTTTTTGAACCAATCTCTGTATAGTCGAGCAATAGCCGCTTTTACTTCCTTAACGGATGCGGCATACTCAGAGATCTTTTTCTCCGAGTTTATTCCGCTAAAAGCTCTCTTCCCGTACTTGGCGGATATGCACGTTCCCATTGGTGGTTCACCGGCAAGTGCCGTGATTGTATAACGGGAGAAATAGAGAAAAGGGCGATGATTGCTATTAATCGACGCGTATGCCAAGCGAGACCATTTCACCGGGCGGATCTCGCACACAAAACGCGAAAGAGGAATCCGGGATGGAAAAATAACCATTGCGCCTTTGATGGCAAAGTGAAAAGCGGATATTCTCGTGCAAACTTCTCTCGTCAAAAATGGTCTGACAGCTTTTTTCTCAATGCGAAACAACGAGATTCGATCGAACGTGATTTAAAGCGAAAAAGCGAAGTTTTATCAAGATTACGCGACCATGGGTCCTTTCGCGATTACATCGAGCCACCGTTCCATTACAGAGGAAGCACAAAAATAGAGAGAGGCGAGATATTTATCACTCAAAGACCGAAAAAAAGGAAAAGATCGTGTACATGTTCCACAGTTGCGTCGATACGCGCTGTGCATTACAATCTCTCGTCAACAGACGAGACATCCCCTTAGCTACTCCCGCGTTTACATTTCCCCATCGAGGACGAGGGTGCGCATTAAAGGCGCTCCTTCTTTCGATGAGCAAATCGCTGCGAGCGAAACGACGAACGAAGCCTCTGTCTACAATAACGAGCGACGGAACGTTATGTAAGAACAAATCGCTCTAGGGTGATTACTCTATCTCGTTGACAAGCAAACAGGACAGATCGCACCTCTTTTACGTCTCCTACGTGCGCATTTACTTATTCCATGCTGCCACGTACATAACAGAATAAAATTAACTCAGTGACCATGCTGTCAGAAATTAGTGTTTCTTTGAGGTAATTTTATTTAATATATCTTTCTCTCTCTCTCTCGCTCTCTCATGAAGTGTAGAGTTTTCGGAAGCTGAGAACGCTAGAAAACTATTTAAAAAAATGGAATTGATTTAAGTATTGGATTACGCTTCTAAAATTTCTTTTAAAAAACTGCTTTCAAATCGTTTCTAAAACTTCTTTCAAACCTCTTTTGAATTGCTTCCTTTACGATGAGAGATTTTGATTCGGTACTTAAAAATCGAGAGTGCTCGTCGCGCGCATTCGTTATTTTATTAATCTAAAGAGATCCAGCGCCCGCGCGTAAGTCAACGTCACGTGTTCGCTATCGATAACGTTGGGCGCCAATTAAGGATCGTCGACCGCCAAATTATCTTCAGCAAGGGAGAGAACTCTCACGTCTTCGCTCTACTTGCCGAAACTATGCGACGAAATTTATCAACGCGACGTCTCCGGCAAGAGAAGCTTCTTTGTTACCTCACCCGAGAACCTCGTTCCGCGTTCAACCTACTGTCTGTCTCTCTCTCTCTCTCTCCCTCTCTTTCTCTCCTTTCCTCCCCCCCTCCTCTCTCTCTGCCTTTGTACATGTATATGAGCGTTTATATACGTATGTATCGTCGCGTATATACGCGCGACAGACCTCTTTGGGCATTACTCACGTTACGCTGCGCTATCTGGTTCCCTGTACCCGCGCGGTTCCTCAATTATTCTCAAACAACCGCCCGCATTCTGTTCTAATACCCGCGGGGCTCTCGTGTTCCCCGCTTGCTGTAGGTACATACGTATCGTATATGCAGCGCAACGAGGCAAGTTATTATTGTCGTTCCGCGGCATTACGCTCGTCGCGACGTACCCTATCCACTACCCTGTCCCTCCTGCATCCCCTTGTCGAAAAGTCGACAACCAGGCACGAAAGGGGATCCCCTCTCACGCTCCGCTTGATTGTTTTCACCGTTCGTGTATCTCGCGAAATACACGAGCGTCCAAACACTCGAGAGACACACATACTCACTCCATGCAAACTCGGAAACGTAGTTAATGCCCGCCATCATAGGTCGTAACCCTTTCGTCGTCGGTGATGCAGGAAGATATCGCGAATTGTTCTCGATTCGCGCGTGGATAAATATAATTAATAAAACGCAGAGGGAGTGAGGTAAAATGGGAATAAATGACGATTATTTGCGTTACGGAAAATTCGTACGTGGAAAAATCAACGAATGAAGAATAAATTTAAATTTACGTTTTACATGAGTGAATATTATTAATATTAACCGCGCGAGTCGAGAGCCGCTCGTGTATCTCATTCGACGTTGATGGAATAATGAAATATTTCTTGCCGCGTTATTTTAATTTCGTCTCTCTGCCCTTAATTCAATATTATTTTAATTCCAGTACAAATACACTTACGCGATCACACAACAAATACAACACGGCGTATCTCCGGGAGGATAATTAAACGTCACTCCCGAGGTCTGCTTAACGATCAATATCTAATTCCGTCCATAATGATGGAGTCATGTAAGTCGTCATCACCGCCGATATATTGGCAACTATCTTTGGTGTTATATCTTTTGCTTCGTAATATAGGATATTATTAGAATGATAATTAACATCTTTCGCTTTATCTAACAACTGTAACAAGACGGAAGAAATCTGAGATCCATTAAACTTCGGCGTTCAGCAACTTATCAGCCCGGCTAAATGCAACCATAGATCCGCCGTTGTTAACCGATCCGTGAAACTAGCCTCGACGAGTCAAACTACAACTAATCTCAGCAGCGTGTTTTGCCTGACAACGTGTTTCTCCGTCGAAACACGTGAATCAATTTCGGGTTCGGTGAACGACGACGGACAAATTTTATTCGAAGCGACGGGACATGCCGAATCGTCCGTACGATTCAATTATTTCGCGAGTTTGTCTCTCACAATCCTGAATCGAGTTAAGCTAAGATTTTCCAGGCATTTAGGTGACGACATCCAGGACGAAGGCACGAAGCTACAAGCAGCGACAGGAGGCTGTCCGGATAAATTTGTTTTCATTCACACTCACAATCATCTGTTTCTCTCTCTTTTTTTGTGCAGTTCCGCCCACGATAGCCCCCTTTAGCTTTAAGAAGGACCTGTCGGAGGGTCTGCGGGCCCAGGTGACCTGCATGGTCGAGAAGGGCGATCCGCCGTTCACGATCATCTGGTCGAAGGATGGCGAGCAGATTTTCCGCCGCTGCCGCAACCATTAACGATCTCCGACAGCACTCTCAGACACCACCTGGGTTGCGCGTAACCAACATTGACGCCCATTCCAGCGCCATAGTTATCGAGCGCGTCACCGCCGCGCACACCGGCAACTATACTTGCCTAGCGCGCAATTCGGTGGCCGAGGTCCTTTGGACAGCCGAATTGATCGTTCGTGGTAAAGTAAAGAAACCGCACCACGCAGAAAACGCACCGAGCCTGTGTTCTTTTTCTCTGTTTTTCTCTCACGTCACTGTTTTGCACCTGGCAGCGCACTATTGTCTCTGCGACGATACAACGACGGCGAGTGAATGAATCTGGAGAATGAAAAAAGATTATCGGATCCATCAAATCTTAGACTTTTTTAGAAGAATGTATAAGAAAAAAGAATAATAAAAGATAAGCTACTGAATATTAATTTGATAAATTTGATAAATTTTTACGTTTTTTGTACTGTTCACGTCGATAGATTGTAATATAAAATTTGAATTAGTTTTATATAAATTTTTCAAATATAAATAATATAATTGCATTCTGTATAATTTTTGTTAAGCTGTTTATATGAACGAATAATATTTTTACCGCAGAAAAATACTTCAGACTTTATTTCTCAATAATATCAGTGATGTCTGACCATATAGTGTCTTTATCTACTGCCGACTAATTGAACAGCTAGACTATGCAGTTTAGATAAATTGCCACGAAGAAGAGAATTGCAATAGAAGAGATTAATTTTCTGGCCAGGGATTTACAAAACAGAAGTCAACGACTGCGAGATTTAAATATCGAGTCATTCTCCGATTCTATTCACCCGCGGCTATTGTATCGTCGTCACTTAAGCGCAGCCGCAGCCGCCGCAGCAGCAGCAGCAGCCGCCATCGCAGCCATCGGTCGAAAAATAGCATGAAGTAAGAGTCACGCACTAGAGCTGCGCTCGGATTTTGCGAACGAACCAAATATCCGGGTACCGCGACGAGAGTATTGACACTGTCGATGGATATCAACCTCTCGTGCTCACGTTCAGAATTGACATGTGCGCTTAGCTTTTTGCCGGTCCCGCCAAGTAATATTTTTTTTAATTTACCAAGTAATATCCGTCCCGTGAATTGTGATGTTCCACTAAGCAGGAGATAGTTGCACTTATGTTACTATTAGCAATTTTAAGAAGCTGATATTAACAATAAAACAGGGTTTACTACCAGGAAAGAACCTGATACTTTCTAGGAATTTCTTTTTTATTTATTTCTCCTGATAATCAGGGATTTTCGTAGAATTTCATTGAGATTAAAGAAATTTTAGGAATTTTATTTTTAAATTTAAATTCTGCTTTTTTCTGAAAATATTTTTTTAATCATTTTTTCTTCTAATATAAAATATTGACACTCAGTTAGCAATAAATATAACATATCTATGTATATTCAAGTACATTATCGTGTATTTCGCGAATTTTTATTTAAAAAAATTCAGAGTAAAACATATTTATAAAATATGATATTAATTAGTAGAATAGAGCTCACTGATATCTATCACATTTACAGTGCGCCTTGTCTTCTCTCTATTACTCTATAACAAATAAAATAAGAGCAAAACTATAGTTTAATTATTATAATAGCAATATTATAATTTAATTATGTTCTTTATTTTATATATTCTGTATATATTAATAATAATAATTATTATTATATAATGTATAGTTGTTATTACGATTATTTAGTTTGTCGTGTCGCTGAATATTTGTTTTTTATATAATAAGGTTATAAAAGATACACTTTATGTAAATTTTAGTTTACCTAAAATATCTCATATTATTTATTTTTCAGTACGACTTTTCTGCCGCTTAAAATCACTCGTCCGGCACTTTCAATATCTGACAGATCTCTTCTGGGTAATACATTCAGGGTAATACTCTCGCGAATATAATCTACGTATCTCGCTTGAAAATGTTTAGAGTCGAGGTATATCCCCAATAATTTTTTCCGTTCCAATATTTCGGTATTTTGTGTTGTACGAGTCTTTTTTTTACAAAAGAATCAGAGAAAATATTTTTCTATGGTACCCTATGCGAAATTCGTTCATTAAATTCGAGATAGTTGCGTGCGAAATTTTTTTAAAAGCGTATCGCGCGCACGTGAATGTTGGCCAGATATTCACGAGAGACACACAGAACAATTCGCTATCCGAATAAACGAACAACGGCATTGTTCAAATAAACGCAGCTCTAGAGTCCTTTTTACGAGATGATACGCGAGAAATGACGAAGCAGCAGCAGCAGCAGCAGCCGCCGCCGCCGCCGCCGCCGCACAGCCAGCAAGCCCGTCGCACCACCGCACATGAGCACAGCATAATAATATATTGTTATTTTACCCCACGGATCACCCCGTAATATATTTTCTATCTAGATATATATCTAACAACAACGGGCGCACTGTTCAACTTGCACTCTGTACCCCTTATCGCAATAATTAAGTACTGCGATCGTATACAGCCTTCGTATTAATTCCGCAAGTGTCAAATGCAGCGGTACTCGACCCTTTGACCTTTGACAGTCGAGATTTTCGGACCAACGTGACGAACAACAATACATCTTCTTTAAATACTTCGATGTCAAATGAGAGAAGCACTATTAATTTTAAAAGCATTAAACTCTTGAACGTGTTGGTCAGCGCGTTGGTCAGCATCGAGGACCGCTGAATCGTATATCGGGATACAACGAAATAAAAAAGGAGAAATGCGCGAGAAAAGAAAAACAAGGAATGAAATCTCGACCGATACGAGGTGCTTGTCAGTATTCAACACGATCGCAGTAGCCCAAAATGAAATATACTGCATGCGAGGGCCAATATGGCCACTTTACGAATCTCGGCTTCGCATATAGCACCACTTCGTCTTGAGTCATGGTGAGCCAGCAGCAGCAACAGCGGCAGCAGCAGCGGCAGCAGCAGCAGTATAAGCAGCAGCAGCAGCAGCAGCAGCAGCAATTTTGTAGTTCAATTTGGAGCACCAACTCACGTTCACTTCACCCAGCACACGCATATCTGCACTGACACGTTTTTCAGTTTATTTTTCTCTCTTATTTAGTTTTGAGCGCCACTAATCCCTTGGCACCGACTTCCCGATGTGACGCTCGCATCTCGTGTTTCGTTTATATTCCTTTCGTCTCCTTTTTTTCATCTCTTCTGCTCTCGTCACCGTCGTCACCGAAAATTCGTATGCCGCCTATCCACCCTACCTTGCACCGAGACGAGTCGGTCTCGTTTGATCCGAACGTTCGTCGGAATAATCGATTCCCGATACGAAATCGTTATTAAATTGAAAAGAGGACGAAGGACCGAAGGATCGCATTTAAAGGATTTGAATTAATAGGCAATCAGATGCCGCAGTCAAAGTATTTAAATTAAGAAAAAGAAAGCTTAAGCGTTCTCCAGCTCTGAAATGTAATTTTAAAAATACAGTACCTCTGGGGAAACCTCTGTTATTTCTCTCACTAAAATAAATTGTAGCGATAAGTCCATGTCTTCATTATTGCGCGTGCTGCTACACTCTTTGTTGATTCTATTATCTAACACGTAGACTGCCACGGTTATTCGGCGTGGGAAATAACAAATTTGTCCATGTAGCTCGATTTTCATAATATAACAAGTGTATCCTTCATCCGCTCGATCCTTCAATTATTAATCACGATTGAATGATAATATGCTTGCAAGCGCATAAATGCATGGCGCATTATGCAAATGAATGCGCGAATAATTCGGCGCGCAAACGTTCGGCTCGGGCGGGACGCGCATTTTGCGCACCTTGTGCATATATTTGTACGCAACAATTGATCGTGCACATTCGTATGTGGTATTGAATTCGCACAGCACCGATTTATCGTATTACGTATATCGCTCTCTGTGATCATCACGGTGTTTATCGCCGATATATTATTTTACTATTTGTCGCCGATGGAAAAATCTCTCCATCGCGCGCGCACGTTGCAGCGTTAGCACCGTTTCCGCACTTTTCCTGCCAGTCCCTCCATCCTCTGCGTCTCTCTTCCATCTGTTTCTTTGTTGTGAGACAGACGGAGAAACAGAGGTGAGAAGAAAGACGAACGAAAAGAGCAAGCAATCCGCCAATACATTGGCGGACAATTCGTAATTTTTATCAGCGAAAGTTTTGCGCCGTTTGTCCGCAATCCCGAGAGGACGTACCAGTCTTCTCCTTCGCGCACCTTCAAATCCTATTTCTCTTTACTTTCACGGCAGCTGAAGTAGAAAGTTGCAGTAGGCCAATCCTCTCCTCGAGAACTTTTCGCTCTTGCCTCAGCGCAATAAGCTTAGATAGAGAAACGTACGACGAGATTCGGAAGAACATTCCCTCACGAATTCAGTGTTCTCGATAAAACGCGACATTTCGTCAAGATTGAAAGTTTAACAATTGCGCGATAAACAATTTTTTCTTGAATTAATTTGACATATTTCCTCCAATTAATTATAGTAAAAAATTATGCGTTCGTTAATTTATTTCTCCGTGATAAAAATTTATTTATGTTAGATCAGATTATTTAGTCTTTCAATAAGATGTAAAATTGACATTTTTTTGCAATTTGAAGAATTAAATATAATTAAGTAAAACAATGTGATTTTTGTCATCTGCTCGCGAATTTTGGCGCTTAATCGGGGCAATCGGGACTTCCGGACCGCGTCGTTGTAGTAGCTGTCGCATTTCGGGATACGTGACAATCGATTAATGATTGCGCATTGTGGGTCAGTGCCGCCACGATGGGTGGTGGAGCCGCAGGACGCCCGTGCGTCGGAGGGGATGCCCCGATTGAGTTTGCATTGTCACGCTGACGGGTTTCCGCCGCCGTTGGTCACATGGCGGCGCGGCAGCGGCAAGAAACCTGGCAATTATCACGACATTGCCAGCCATGAGCACATGCAGGACCTGAGGATACACTCCAACGGTTCACTGGTGTTTGGCCGGGTCCAGGAGGATCATGAGGGCTTCTACCTATGCGAGGCTGTAAATGGCATTGGAGCCGGGCTCAGTAAAGTCGTTTATCTCACCGTCAACGGTATGTATCAATTTTAATTTTGTGTGTGTGTGTGTCCTCAAGTTAATCAAATTCGAAAATTGCTAATAATGTTGTAAAACTTATTTTTAAACAATATAAGTATAGATATGTTTATCATATTTTTGTACCTCTCAACATCCACAGAGTTCAGTAACTATTCCTTTAAAAGCATTTTTTTTTAATTATACGCCATTAATATATTTAAGAAAGCCTTATTTACAATTTTTTAATAATATTAAGAATTATAATCTCTACTAAGAAATGTTTCACAAGAACATAAATTAATCGAATAAAATTTTATTATATTTGTTATAATAGTGGAAAAAAAATTAGTTGATCTCTCTGTTAATATCTCTTTCTTAATATCTATTCTTTATAATCTAATCTAATTGTCAAAAGGAAATTTAATAACTAGGAAAATTTAATAACTAGGAATGTAATTTTTTTACAATAGAAACGTCATTAAACCTCCCATTACTATCTACAGTTACAGAAAATACTTTAACGCTAAAGCTTTACGAGATAAAATATCTTTCTCTCTCATAATTTCTTTAGTAGGATTAGTCTTCTACTAATTGGTGATTAACCCTAATTGGATCTTGCTGAAACTTTAGGTATTATCAACAGTGTGACGATTGACCCGTGTAGTCAATTTAATCCTTATCCTATTAAACATTGAGGAAATATTTTTTGATGAAATAATCGAATTGCTGAGCTCCCTTTTTATAAAAGATAATGATTTTTAGAACATTAACGAAATTTACTTGATAACATATCTTGTCAAATTAATTTTTTCAATTCTTAATTCTTAATCTTTTTGTTTTTTGAATTTTTTTTAGTTTTATAACTTTTAAACTTTATCTTACTTTAAAATAAATATGTACAAGAGACATCAATAAGTCCCATTAATATAATATTTAAATTGTATTATAATAATTATTATTATTATTTATAACGCACATGTTATTAATTAAATTATAGTTTATAATAAAATAAGTAATCTAATAATATAAAAACCAATTTAAACGTTTAAATCTTACTTAATTTTCTGTAAATAATTTTGCCAATTTGATCAGATCTGCCTCTTTTCCTGTTAGCTTACATCTTATTTTAGAAGACCTATATTTTGTGTTCAGAATAAAATTTTATATATAATTTTATACCGCAACAACACAAACAACACAACACACATTGCACAAAAAGAATAATTTTGTTAAGCATCTAAAAATTTATGTAGATACAGACAATAATTTTATTGGATCATTAAAAGAATTATATAGGACGCCCAAGCTGGTTGCTAGAATATTTTTTTGCAACCTTGCTCATCATGCTTATTATCTCTACGTAATTATTTTGATGGTCTAATAAAATTATTTTCAGGTATCTAGCTAAATTTTTTAATACTTTAGTAAAATCGTTTTTTTCTGTATACGAAAAATACTTTAGAATAGAAACGCACATACATGCATATATAAAAATTTATAAGATACAAAATTACAGGATTTTTTAAACTTGATGAATATTGTTCAAAGTATAACTCAAGAATTTAATTTTATTAAATAGAATTTATTTAAATATGACTGTGTTCTAAAATAATCTAAAATAATGTGCATTTTAAGTCTGCACCATACCTAACTATATAATTATAAATAGAATTCTATTCCGCTTGATACAGTTCCCGCACATTTTGTGGAGAAGCATCGTAATCAGACCGCGAGGCTGGGCTCGAATGCTTCTTTACGTTGCGAAGCGAAAGGCGACCATCCTTTGAAGATAGTTTGGAAGAAAGCAGGCTCCCAATTGGATCCTAAGCTTCCCGATTATCGTTATACCCTGAAGGAGGATAACACTACCGACGGCGCCGTTAGCGTTCTCGGTTTCGTCAGCACTAGCCGCGAGGACAGTGGAAGGTATTTTTGTATCGCGTCCAATGCTTACGGCCGCGACGAGATGACGATTCATCTTTATATCCAAGGTACTTTATATTCAATAAATTATTATCTATATACTATCTTGCGAGGGAAGCTCTTTGAAAAATCATCGACACCGAATACAAAGACATAATATTAATTGATAATACTACTTGAAAGATAGTATTAATATACAGAAGGACATATAATAATTGTAACAACACAGCAGCAAGAAAAAAGTTGCAATAAAAATAACAATGATATTTCCGTGTTAACGTTGACGTTTCATAATCGTTTGTTCTCTGTCGGAGATAGGAGATAGTCAATGAAGTCCATGAATTTATTGCGAAGCGAGTTATCGCGATGATGCCTTCGGGGCGTCAGTCGGTCGGTTGTTTGTGCGTAACGCTATTTCGCTGAATGTAATTATCGTAATGTATACAGGCACTCGACAACGCGCGTCCATTTAATTTAATGTACGTCCGTGCAAGTACGCGCACGGAGAGACAGATGAGCCGGTGGCTCGCACTCTCTATGTGTTCTCCAAAATGAGATACGCTTCGAGCGGACGTATTGTGCCGGATAACCCGTGAAATATGCATAATGCAGGTACGCGACAATCGTGCCATAACTGAAAATTATTCCATAGGACGCGATACACGGCGGACGATGCCTCGGAATTAGCCGAAAATTTCCAACTAATTGTCCAACTGTAATTTCGCGCGGTGAAACATTTTAATAGAGGTCATACCAAAAATCATTCTGACGCTATTTAAAATAGCGTATTAAATGTTGAAATTATATGTGCGTCAGTCAAGCTTTTATTAGATAATACCGTCGCTACTATAAAAACGCTATAATGCCTCTTTAGATGTCATACAAAATAACACATGTTAAAATGACTGATCGCAGGTAAAATGCACATAGTATAATATATAAATAAAAATTTTTATCCATAATGAATATGATAGTGAAGGAGTTAATTTAAAATTAGTATTCCTAAAACTCATACATAAAAATATGAAAAACGCGTATACTAATTATAAATCGGATTTAGTAAACGATAGAAAATTGTTTAAACATTGAAAAGTTTAATATTGATTTTACATTAATTTCGGAATATTATTGATACGTAGATTTTGAATGAGATCATTAAGCGTTAAGTTATTCAATGATCATTAGGGGGGTTTAATCTATCATACTAAAAGCGGAGAGAAGCTTTTAGAAATTCTGTCTGTTATATATTAGTTTGAATCTCCTGGTGGTCAATATTATATATCAGCATTATGTATTATCTAATAAAGGTACGTTCTATTTGGCACTCACAACGCTCGCGAGCATCATTTATGCTTATTTAACATTTGATAAACAACAAGGATGAAATAATTCTACCAGTGTTGTAAACATTAAATGGAATACAGCCTAAGTGATTCAATTCTTAAGCAGTTTTATATTATTATTTTGTTTAGTATATATTTTATTTAGGAGTGTTATGAAGAGATACAAACAATTAAACTACATATTTCATTACAGTTTTTCTAATTTAATTTAGGGGGATTATTAGCGTTTCAGATTGAATGTGTTAAGAGTCTGAATATTTCGGCGCACAATCATATCTTAAAAAAAATAAAATCAATTTATAATAATAAAGAATATATATCGTATTATTTGAAACATTTAACTTTGACTGGCTATTGACGTTCTCTATGTTTTGATTTATTCATATTTACGGTCGTGCTTAATATTATATATTTCATCATTATATTTCATTATTATTTCAAGATCGATAGTGCATTTATTCTTTTTTTCTTTTAAGTTAGTAATTAGTTTATATTTATAAAAGTTTAAATTATAAATATTTTGTTATTAAAAGAGTGAAATGTAAGAAAAACTTGTGTTATATTAATTAAGAAGGCTTTCCTTGTAAAATTTACTTATCGATAGCAATATTGTATCATTCAATAGTGATAGCATTCTAAAGTTAAAAGAGATCTACATAATTATTGATATATAGAGCCTCCAGACTTTCCACGAAACCTTCACGTGATCGAGAAAGGCAGTCGTCACATTAATCTAGGCTGGACAACTAGTCAAGACGGGAACAGTCCAATTACCCAATACATAATCGAGTACAAAACCGAATCAGGTAAGCATCGTAGTTATTATCTTAATTCAATTCATCGTAGTAATTATCTTAATTCAATTAAAATAATTGAAAAATCTAATGTCTACAAATTTAATATTATCTATTTAGGAGAACATTAACATAAAAAAAGTTTTTAAAATAGATTAAATTTATTAATGAAAATTATTAATAAATTATTCCTGTACATTATATCATATACAATTATAAATAAATTATTAATAAAAATTGAAAGTATGTTAATAAAAATTTGATACCCAAGTATTTCACATCTGATTTTACATGCTTGATTGCAAATTGCAAACAGGAGTATTAATTTCTAGAATTTATTTGTATAAATATATATAATTAAATTGTAGAATTAGATATTCTAAATTGATTTATATTCTGGATAAATACACATACTACTGTGATAAAAAAATATCCAAACTTTATTATTTAAAAATTGCGGGAAAACTGTAAATCAAATCCGTTTACTTTGTTAAGTTGGTATACATGTCCTTCACATTTGGTAAAAAAAAATCATGGCGTTCCTTCAACCCGTTTGAAAATGACAGTCGTTTATGTCAATGAAGATTTTTGTGCGTGGCAATTTTGATCGAAATTTCGTTCGTAACGCAATATTTCAAACAAATTTTTTGCTCGATACTTTTCGGTAAAAATCGCCGCGCACAACAATCTTCACTGAGATAAATAACTGTCAGGGGCTTCACACAATAAAAGGAACAGAGAACAGAGAATAAGAATTTCAACTTATCAGAAATCATGTATTGTGAAATACGCAGTGTGTATTCCGCAATACATGATTTCTGATAGGTTGAAATTCTTATTCTCTGTTCTCTGTTCCCTGTTCCTTTTATTGTGCGGAGCCCCTCATTCTCAAACGACTTGAAGGAACGCCATGATTTTTTTACCAAATGTGAAGGAGATGTGTACCAACTTAGCAAAGCAAACGGATTTGATTTAGTTTTTCCGCAATTAAAAAAAATAAAGTTCAGATACTTTTTGATCACAGAGTATATAATCCAAAATATTGAAAGAGCTGATAACAGCTCGTATGGACAGGTATAAATATAACAGCAGCTTCATCTGATCGACGTTTCCATTGACCCGGGGGATTAAATTACCGCAAGATGATCGTTCAATTTTGCAGAAGTATGGCACGACCACACGTTCCACACGACGGTACCGGGGACACGTGCTCGCGGCCACGTGAGCGGTTTGCGTCCTGCGGTCACTTACCAGTTCCGGATGTACGCGGACAACGAACTGGGTCGGAGTCAAGCGAGCGACGTAGGTATCGGGGCCAGGCCGAACATTTACAAGTCAAATCGCACCCTCGGACGATCGTATTCCTCGCCGACTAGTCGGTCGTCATCCCTTCCTCCCTCGAGAATTAAAACAATCGGGACACCGGTGTGTGATGGGGACCGAGCTCGATCGATATTTTCCCGCGCGCATAAAAAAAAAGAACTATCTCATCTCGAAACGTATCCCTCTCTCCGTCGTCTCTTGACGGATGTGCGGCTGCATCGTTGGCCTGGATTTAAATTGCGCTCCACGCTGCTCTTTCGAGCATATCGACCCCTCTCGCACTTTTTTATCTTCCGGAAAAGAATTCGTTTGCGCGTTTAAGGATGCAGTCTGCGTAACATCCGCCGCAATGCTTTGAAGCGAAATATCGAAGTGCATCCAGCCAAATTCGTTTTGTTCCCGCAGATTCTCCCCAACTGCGATCTGCGTTTCACATGTTTCCTTAAACACCGACGTGACAGCTGACATCCATTTTATATTGCACTATATGTACTTTTTAAACGATTTCTGAATCTATGTCAGTTTCACAAAAGAATTTAATCCGTCTTTATTTTACGATCGTCTCTTTTTGTAATTCAAATTCGTTACGAACAAAAATGACAAAATACTTGAAAAGTTTAGTGGCAATTAATGGGATAAAAGAATACGCAACGAAAGTGAATGGACTCGCCAAAGATTTCAAAAGAAGATTTTATGGGCTTTTCAGATTTTAGAAACGACAACAGAGGGAGAGAAACCGGGTGGACCACCGCGAAATCTCAAAGTAGACCCCATCAGCTCGACCGAGTTCAACGTCACCTGGGATCCGCCCGATCATGATTTATGGAACGGCGAGATACTCGGTTATCATGTCGGCTACAAGGAACACAGGTAACGACCGAAAACACTGCCGTTATTTTAACGACGTGCCTCGACAGATAGGGGTTTGTTTCCTCCCTCGCGCGCGCATACATATAGGCACGCACACAGAATTCTAACTTCCTGTATTTCAGCCCACAGAGCTGATACCGTAGAATTCACGCGCCATTAATAAACGACGAGCTATCTCGGGGTCAGTTATTTATCCGCCTGGGGCAACGCTGACAAATCCTCGAAAAACTATAGGCTTTTTTACGGCCGCGTTTTGTTACATCGCTCCAGTGCGCTTTTGTTGTGATGCTTTTACCACGAACCAGTGAAATTTGATATAAATTTTTTCCATCTTTCTAGAATGCTAAATTACATTGACTAGGTCAATATAAATTTGATGATGTAGCTTATGCGTCCTCTGTTTCTACTTTTGATTACTTTTTAACTTATCTTTATTATTAGATTTTTAATCGATATATTTAATTTAATATACAATCCGCATAATGCTTCTCACTTATTTATTATTTTATAAACTGCATATTCTCTGAAATATTCAAAAGATGAAATTTCTGATTTCTTTATCTCATTTATTGTATATTTTTTTAATTATAATTTTATTTTAAGTTTATCTTGGTACTTTCTGTCACGTGTGTCATTTACATAAATCCATATTATTTTTACATTTTTCACACAGTAATCTAATATCAACTTCGCCGCTGAAACTTTACACAAAGTTTAGGGTTAAAAGGAGACACTTGACACCCTTTCTGCAAACTAATTAATCATACAAGCCAGGTGTAACGAACACTTTCGTGAACTTCAGGTTGGGGGCGGAGCAATACACGTATAAAACTGTGGAAAGACGGATCTCGACAGCGAGCGTCGCTCTGGGTTTGGCAAGAACATCCATGCCCGGACGTCAGCATCACTTGACGAACTTGAAGAAGTTCACGCGTTACAGCGTGGTCGTTCAAGCGTTCAATGCCCTCGGACCTGGTCCCATGACTCAGGAAGTCGTGGCGTCAACACTCGAGGACGGTAAGCGACCGTAAAAATAAGTACCGTTGATCGATTCATTTTCGGTAAGAGTCAAGAACACCGCAAAGCATGTTTTTACTACAGCCCTGACGAAAATATAAATCGGAGTATAAATCGAATGTAAGCGTAAACGCCTCTTTTACATTTCGTTGTTTCAATTTTCTCCACCTGGAAACTTCGTTTATGCTTCTATTACTATCTCCTTACATTCGACTTATGCTCCGATTTATATTTTTGTCAGAAAAACATCTCGCTGGAACGAAAAACAATTTCTAAATTATTTTGCAAACTTCTTAAAATAGTTGAGATAGGGCTAAAAATGTGCAATAAATGTCAATCTTAAATCTGTTTGGTCCAGATTAATTTTATTGAGTTTCGGTGAAGTGGCACATTTATCGTAGGTTTCCCGATGAATCGAACAACGACGAAAATATGCACATTGAACGCCAATGGAATTAACATACCTGATACGATCGATCGGCGCATTCGCGAGCTCGGGAGAGCGAAATTCTCGTCTAGACGGCTATTTTCGCGTCAGAACTCGACCCGAGAAGCTTCAAAAATTCATGAAGAGAATAATATTCGCGCCTTCTCGCGAGCCTATCACGAATTCCGCTATGAATACCGACCGCATGCGGCCGTGGCTGCACGACTTCCTGGATAAATAATAAATTCAGATGCGGCACCCGTGCTCGCAAATAACTTCTTTAATCTTATCCCCGCCGGGGAATGGCGGACCCGACGAAACTTTCAAGTGCAAGCACTCCGATATTTTCGATCGTGGGGAGGCAAACATCCTCGCGACTTACAACGGCAACGGTATCTCTTTAAAAACTTTCCTCCTAAACCCGTTCTTGAAATATTCCACGCGTATAGTCACATTGCGCTCGAATATACGACGAATATCGACATTTTAAATGTAGTACGAGTTTTACGAGCTGCACCGTTCGTATTTCCTAAATTATTACTATCGTAAAAATATATCCAATTTACAGCAATGTCATAATTTTCATTAAAATTAATATACTGATAAATATCTATGTGTGAATATATATATATATATATATATATATATTAGATTACTATTCTTTTATTTTAAATGCATAACTAAAATAGTGCTGCGCTACTTTCATTTCTAGTATATTTAAATTTGTTTATTCTTACATGCTAAAATATAATAATAATAATCTATTAATCTTATAAAAAAATAGTAAGTCTCATTTTTAAACAACGTATAAATGTTAAATGACAATATTACGTACATAATACGCATATAACATATTTTAATAAAAGATATTTACAATATGAAAGTTGATGGATTACTTTGCTAAGATAAAACCTTTGAATGGAACTTTGAATTTTTCTAGTCCCCAGCAGCCCTCCTCAGGATGTGCGATGCACCGCGCTCTCGTCAACATCCTTACAAGTCTCGTGGGAATCTCCGCCCGATTCCAGCCTGAACGGGATCCTGAAAGGTTACAAGGTCATGTGGGAAAACATGGATGCGATAACGGAGTCTGTCAAACCAGAGATGAAGATCACCACTGCACTAACTGTAGGACTCCACGGCCTGGAAAAGTACACGAATTATTCGATCCAAGTCCTGGCGTATACCAGAACTGGCGATGGCGTCGCCTCGTCACCCCTTTATTGTGTAACCGAAGAGGACCTGCCGCAGGTGCCGGCCGGTGTCAAAGCAGTTGTCAGCTCGGCCACGTCCATTATCGTCTCTTGGCAACCGCCCCTGAAGAGTAACGGCAACATCACCTCCTACAACGTACATATCCGCGGATTGGGATCGGAGGGTAAATGGCACAGAAGAGCCCTGCCGCCGTATCAGACCAGCTATCAGGCCGAGGATTTGCACAAGAGGAGCCAGTACGAATTCACGATCGCGGCGGTCACCTCGGTTGGCGAGGGTCCGCAAACCCCGTCCGTCACGGTCTCTCCTTCCAGTGAAGGTAAAAAGATTATTTTTATTTCATTCAGATGCTGAATTAGCTTCGAGATTACATGGTCTCTTACATGGTCTACTTAAGCTTTGCGATTTTTTTTTAATTTTTTATAACTAGGATTAAAATTTTTAACTAGGATTTAAATTTTGTGCTGTGTATAAAATTGGAAACTTGTAGTCAGATTCAAAAGAGGAAACATATATTTCTAAACATTAAAAAATATAGCGTATTAAAACGGAATCTACATTCTGGATATTTTATTTACCTTATCTTATTTATACAAAGATTTATACGTCAATATATTTCACACTCTATGTACTTTCGATATTCAGAAGATTGTACGAGAACGCGAAAGAGTAGTTTATAATACATTGGTACATCGAAAATATGCAGCTTTACTGCAGTAGTGAAACTTGGAGCTATTCGGCGCACAAATTGGACTAGTTGCGAAAGTTACGTTTTCAAGCGTCGTTTGAAAACGATTCGCCCATCGTATAAACATCCGTTTTTCGAGCTAAATAAATTGTCTAAAGTCAACTGGTAATGACATACCGAGTGCCGTATTTATGTTTGTTAATGAGTCGCGCGCTTTTTATTTTCTTCTCAGCTTCTCAGCAGAAAGTCTTTGCAAACTCTTTATAACGAACTTTAAATCTTTCCCGTCATGAAACACTTTCTCTGAGTTTGCTTCGCGTGGTTGATAAAAGCTAACTTATCAACGACGACTATCGTGCACTCAATAAGGATTCGCTCGACTTACTCTATTACAGTACGCGCCGCCATATATTCGTTCGGTACTACGCTTATCGTACCGTGGAAGCAAGATGTAACGCTGCCTTGTCAAAGCGTGGGTAAACCCTCGATTAATTGGAAGCAATGGGGTCAGATAGTCAAGCCATCCGCCAGGGTGTCTCTCCATACCGATGGATTTTTGCAGATCACTGAGCTTCATAGAGAGGATAGCGGAAATTACACTTGCTTCGTGGAGAATCGCCATGGCTCCGATCAAATAACTCATCGTTTAACCGTACAAGGTAAACGCAATTTTCATTTTAGTATAATAATCACGCATGATTTATTATCAGTAATATAATATTATTTACTTTAATTTAATTTTATTAATTATTGGAAAATTAATTACAAAAAGTTCATTGTGCCACAATTAATTAATGAAATAAAATTAAGTTATCTCTATAAAAAAATAATATATATGTACTAGTAGTTAATTAAATTTATTAAATTCTAAATGATTTAATTTAAATGCTATGTTTGTTTATTATTACATGTTTTGATTTATGTACCCTGTTTTATTATTTTAAATACAAAACTAATACTGATAATAATTAGTACATATTAATGTTAATATTTACATTTAATTTTTATTCGACCATAAATCAATTTTCTTTAAAAGCTTGTAACTTACAATCAATATCATAGGGAGCGATTTATAAATCAAAATTTGTCCTTTTCAGTTCCACCTGCGGCGCCATTATTACACGCGACCAGCACCAGCAGCAATTCGATCAACGTACAGTGGAAAAACGGTGACGATGGCGGTTCACCGATTCGCGGTTACATCTTACATTACAAACGCGAGTCCGGCGAGTGGGAGGAGTTTAAGGTGTCGCACAAAGTGAGCAGCTTTGTCCTGTCACGACTCTGGTGCGGCAACGACTATCAGATGTACCTGACGGCGTATAATCGCATCGGCATGGGCAGACCCAGCGAGATCGTCAAGGCAACTACGAAGGGCTCCAAGCCGGATGACTCGCCTGGAACTGGCGACAAGTTTGTTACGGTTAACGTTTCATGGATCACCTTGCATCTCAGCACGTGGAACGACGGAGGGTGTCCCATAACTTTCTTTGAACTGGAGTACAGGAAAAGCGGCGAGGGTATCTGGACGCTGGTCTCGAATAATATAGAGGTATTCGAATGTGACGAAATTTTATTTTGCTAGATATCTACACAATAAAAAGACAAAGTTACTTATCTTTCCTTATAAAAGCATTATGGAAATTATAAAAGTAAAAAAATTTTTCAAATCAATTTATCATCAATTTCAGTCAAATTTTTCTTTACAAAAACGTCAAGAGAAGTCAATATTTATCGCTTCTCTAATCTTTATATAAAATCGTATTTTTTTTTTATAATATATTACACTTTAAATCTCTTTCTAGGAAGGAGATTCTAGTAATAAAATTTTACCTAAAAAAAATTAACTAAATTGGGAAATATATATATAATGTATCATTGTTTAATTCCAATTACTTCGAACTTCAAAATTATTAACGGTTTGACGTTCTTGCTATGGAAAAACGGTTTTCAAGAAATCTAATTAAAAAATAAAGTAGCACAAAATATAGGACATGTATAAATATTTTATTGTGAAACATTTGAGTCACATAAATTCTTTCATAATGCAGACATTTCGGTATTGTCCTTACAAACATAATATTATCATTAATTGGTATAAACAATGATATATCAACTTCTCTTAAAAGACGATTTAATATTTTACATGTGTATTACGGGATTATGATGACCTATATGCAACTTATATATTGTGCAGGTGCAAAAGACGTATACTCTGAGCGAATTGCAGCCGGGGACCACTTATGACATCCGCATAAGAGCCCACAACAATGCCGGCTCGTCGGTGGCTGAGTACAAGATAACGACGTTGCAGCCACACATTAGCACGACCATGTCCGCCATCGAGATCGATCATTACATTCCCCAACACACCTCCGTATATTCGGATCTAAAGCTCATCGTACCTTTGGTGTTAAGTTCGTTCGCAGTCATTGCTGCAGCCGGTGCCGTCTTCTACTGTTTCCGCAAACGTTAGTCTGTCACATGCGCATACAATTTTCTAAATTATAAACAGCAAAAAAATTTGTATAAGAAGTATAATAAATAAAATACACAAGAGTAAACACAGAATATAAATGAATATAAAAGTCATTAAAATACGTTTGTGATATTAATCACATATTGCAGGTCCGTTTATGGGCGACATCGGGAGTCTGCATGACGCGCAAACCGCGGCCGCCCTAGACAATAAGCAGAATATGGAACAGCGTGAACAATATTACGCTACCGTGCGTAAACCGCTACGCTCGCCGATTCACGAGATGGCCACGCTCGAGAAAATACCAGGTGAGATAAGCAGACCAACTTGCGTCAATGAAATCAAACTCGTTCTTTCGTAAAAAATTGACAGTGATATAAAATAAATGCGGGTGTAGTATAGGGCTTTTTCTCTCTCTCTCTCTCTCTCTCTCTCTCTCTCTCTCTCTCTCTCTCTCCCTTTTTTCCTTCTGTCTCCGTCTATCTCTTTGAGAAATCGAGATTACGCGAGGGGCAAACGATTGCAGCCTGGATGTCACTATTAACACCACAACATTAAACATGCTTGTAGAATATTCGGAAGATATCTACCCGTACGCCACGTTCCAGCTAGAGGAAAGTGTTCCTGCAGGAGGCGACAGTCGCTGCAATTCTGCCGCGCCTCTTCAGACCTTTGTCTATCACGACCCTCGTCTCTCCACTGCCGATACCCTTCAGTTACGAGAGGTATCGTCTACTGATTTATGTTATTAGAAGTGCCGTCTTCTCGCTGCACGTTTCTATCCCGTACAATTTCCGACCGTATAATATCTTTGTTTCTTATCTCTAATTCTCCAGTTTCACAATTCGTTTTCTTGACTTCTTTTTTGAAATAAATATTTCACGCAATTTTGGTCGAAATAGCAGTCCACATCTAATATTTTTTTTTTCTAACATAAATAAAATAAATTGAATTTAAAGAAATTTTAGTTAAATTTTTTAATTCTTTAGCGTCTAAACTTTTTGCAATTTAAAATATTCTCGACATAAAATTGACGTAAAATATAAATTACAAAAAGTCGCAATTTTATATAATTAAGATCGTGATGCTGATTTTGGGTTCTACAACGACATAAAAACTATGCATTTATATTCAATCAGACATTGGCGCAAAACGTGCGAGAAGAACCGCGTGAGCATGGCAACTTGTCACCGCTTTTATCATTCACTTTCATACATTCCCAGCTTCGTTACACCTTCGACACCTGCGACACTTGCGACAACTGCATGCGTACCCCGATCAATGCACCGACAATATATCTTATCCTTGCGACGAAAATCGAAATACTTAGCGATCTTCTATGCAAATACTTATAGGTCACTCGCATGCTCAAGATGAGTTTTCCAAGTTTCTTATTTCGCGCGCGATTAATACATGTGATATTACGAATTTTAATTTGCGCGCGAACTTTCTTAATTCTTTTCCAATTCGGAAACGCGGATTTCTCTGTTCCTTTTTTTTCAACTGTGAGCTCGTGACATCGATTAAGTGAGTACCATTGCAAGTTACATTGTTGCGACTGCTGGTCCCATCGTTTCGCTTCGTTTCGCAATTGTCCTGAGACGACTCGTGAATCGAAGTATTGATTACAACAAACTAGACCTATCGAACGCCGTTCGCCATTTACACATATGCATCTATCGCCGAATCTCGTCATAGCTTTACTAGCTGTAGCATAAAAAAACTCTCTCATGATTCATCGCTTCCGTGACTCCTAGTTCGATGAAGTAGAATAGCGTTTCTGTAGAGAAGGTGAAAGTTCATTACTCTTTCCCGTCACAACTAAGTAGAGAATAAAACGAAATGTACATTTCTCGACTATTACTTCAAAATTTTGTAATAAAAAAGCGATTAGCTTTATCTATTTTTTTTTTATTATTATAATAAATTAATCTGTCTTTAATTAATCTCAATTTAATAATGAATAACGTCTTGGTAAAAATGAGTAATGCCTGTAAAAAATTGATTATAATAAAAATTAGAACATGTACAGTCTAAAATGAAATTCTTATTGATAATAAATTATAAGAGAAATTTACTTTCATAAAATACGCATAAATGTGATAGATGTTTAAATATATGGTAATTTATATTTTTGCAAGAGAACATTTTTTTTAATTCACAACTGCTCAAAGATTGTCCGTTTGACTCATGATCAGCAAATCGTATGCGAACATCTTCCACTCTCGGGATTCCCGTGATACGTCGACTCGCTTGAATACATATAGCAATCCTGACGAGATAAAATATTAATCTAATCAGGCGGAAACCCGTGTACTTACGATCGTCGACGATTTTGCTCTAATCTTGAGATCGCTTCTCATGCGATCCGGTAGACACAGATCCACTGACGTGATCGGAGATGCGCGGTGGATGCGCGACACGCGGTGTACCATCTCATAGAAATCAATTCCGTCTGATTGCAGTCGGATTGCAACCGGTACACTAAGGTGCGCGGAGGCCGTTCGTCCTCTGCGCCGTTGCACAAAGCGCACAAGGTCAGTCAGGGCAAGTCCGAGTCGGAGGAGTACGACACCCTGGGCTCGGACAGCGACACGGAAGTCGGGACCAGCAGCCGAACCGAGTCTTCCAATCACCTCGTCGATTCGCACCACTCGGCATCTGCGGCCGACTCGCGTGTCCACAGTATGCAATATTTTCACCTCTTTCTGTCTTTCTTTCTCTTTCTCTGTGTTTCTGTCTCTCTTATTCTCAGGAGTGTAGCAGTAGGATAGAAGGCAACTTCTCGGATTAGAATTAAAGGCTTCGGTTTTTAATTCCTTTTTTAATATTTTTATCAGAGTGCGTTCTCGCTGGAGACTCAGCCCTACGGTATAATTTTTGCTTTCGGAAAATCCTATATTGTAAACATCTAGATATATATAAGCACTATATTCCGATTTCTATTTCCGCGTGGCTCGCGCCTTCCGCTGATTCTAGTTGCGAGCACTTTCGTACTGTTGATATTGTAAACATGGAAGTTCGATGATCACGGTAACGCGTGCACGTTTGTTTTCCCGACCTAATTTTATCCGACGCACGTATGTGTATGCAATATACGCTTCCTTGGTTGCAGTCTTGTCGCACGAACCGATTGATATTGCATCGAGCAACATAGATCCACGATGAAGTTCCCACCGTGAGATCGCGAAAGCACTTGTGATTAATTATTTATTTTCGGTGAATTAGATGTAAAAGACAAAGGGAAAACGTGTTTGCTTACAGACTTCCTGTACCATGGACCAGAATCTAGCACGTCTACAGAACCCTCACCGATTTTTGAGAGAAAATCGTTTCCTGGAAGGGGAAGACCCAAGTAAGTCTATCATTAATCGATTATTAATCTACTTAATCTTTTTCACGATGCTCTTGAATTTCTAAACTGATTGTTTGCTTAGATATCAAAGTTTACAGTTAAATAAAGGCTTACATTTAAATATGTCGTCAAATTCGATACTACGCTTAAGTTTAAGGTATACGATCTAAATTGGATTATTGATCATGAAGTTATTTATAAACTGATGGTTAAATATATTATATAGCCTAAACGCACTTTTACGACCGACTATTACCAACCAAAGGTTAGCAAAAACGAAGGAAAATGTGTTTCATCGAGGCAGATTTGTTATCAAAGATCTCCATAACTCTGGTGGGAAAGCTTTTACGAAAAACTACATAGATTGAAATAACATCTTAGAAATTATTACTTTTTCGTAGTGGGACATAGAGCGGCGTTGTTTCTTTGAAAAACTTAGAAATCCTCCGCCCTCAAACAACGTCATTCTACGTTCCACTACGAATATCTACGAAAAATTAAAAATTTCTAAGATTTTGTCTCAATCTATATACTTTTTCTGTACTTTTTCATAAAAATTTTTTTTCCGCCAGGGAACTACAATATATATTCTTATCAACTTTTAGTTACAGACTTCTTATTGACCAAGCTTGGGTTTTAAGCTTATCCCATATCGTTAACTTTACTGTTAATAGTCTAAATTCCAAATGAAACATGTCCCACTATTTGCAAGATAAAAGAAAAACCGTTTGCATTCAGGATGTTACAGCTGGCGCGTCATACCAGCGAGGAGGCCCGTGCCAACTTCGGGCCAATCTCCGGGCTTGGCCATCCCAAGCACCAGTCGGGCAATCCCTGTGCCAATCGGGACCAGGAGCGTGACGGATCAGGAAACCTGTTCGTCCCCAAGCTGGACCCACCCTCGGGCTTCTCCGACGCGTTTGAGCTAAGCGAGGCCGAGTGCGACTTCGATCGCGGTCATAACAGCCAACGAAACGTCCGTGACTTCGTAATCGCGGTGTAAATACGTGTAAAAGCCTCCGATGCGTACACGGGAATCCCGTCGTAAAATAAAAGAGAAGAGGAGACATTAAAAGTAAATAGAAGAGAAAAAAAGAAGAATATAAAGGAAATATCGCGCGAGATTTATGCAAACCGCGGTCCGTCGTTTCGTTAATGCGAATTGGCGTCTCGTATCCGATCGCCAGCTATTCAAGTGATAATTCCACGTGCTCCTTCGTCCTGCTCCCGGCCTACGTCGATGAGAACGCGTCCGTCAGCTCGACGATCACATGCTCCGTAAACTGCCACCGGCGTTTCCAGCGAGATCGATCCGACGTCAAGATTATTTCTCGGCTTAAGTATTTTAGGGCTACGATTAGGCGAACGATCACGAACGAACGCGCTGCGATTGATCGTAACAAAGTTAAGTTTAACAGAGAGACAGAGAATCTATAAGCTGCCGTTTATTGGTTCCGCTTGGTGGAATCACAAAGTTTTATGTATCGCGTCGTTCGGGTACTTGACAAAGTACTTGAGCGGACCAGGTCGAGTTCTACATTGTTGTCTGTTCTATATCGTGGCGGAAGAATTGAAGCGAACGAAATTCCCGCGAGTCCGCGGAGCGTCTCGACGACGACGATCCGTATAAACTGCCACGTTTTATTCCGCGTTCCGTGTAATAATCCATAGTTAATTAAAAATGGCGGCGTTATACGCGCGATCCATATCCACCTCGGATTTCTTCCCTCCACGCGACGATCTTTATATTCGAATATCTGCCTCCGATTTGTCGAAGCACACAAATACGTACACATTCCCCATACAATCTTCTAATTATTATAATAGCGAAAATACGACGCGAACGCGCGACGACTGTAATTAAACTGTAAAAGTCTAACGGTAACTGCCATCTTACTCTACTACGAAGCGACCAACGACTCCGAAGAGATCTACGATCGGCCGAGATACCCCCGAATCGTTTTCTGACAATTGTACGTGTCTCTGGCGCGAGACACTTGTACATGCATATCGAAGCGAGCAATACGCAACCTCCAAACATTTTTCCTTGTCTTCCAATCATTCTCGTCGATTCGATCAAACATCCATTCATCACACCATCTTCCGCTTCTCCGCGAAGAGTGTTACCGTATATGTCTATGTAAAGAGAAAGTAACGCAATCATTCGTCGTTGTCGTCAGTGTCGTTTTAACTTATCCGCGAGAGACTGAAAGAAGCATTGTAGTTTAGGTTTACACTTGACATCTGTCACAAGAGTGATCACAGGTCTCTGTGGCTTCTGCGAAAGGTAAGCAAGTTTACAACGTCAATGAAAGGAGACTGTCAAACGCGAGTATCGTGAAAGAAACGTCGAATACGGCGAATGTTGAGCGTAAACCTAGTCTTAGTAGACGAGTTACCACGTAGCGTAAACGTAACGACCGAACATAATGTCTGTAAGTTGTCTATTACTACTGTACCCATTGTACACTTCGCTCACAAACTGCCGCGTACGTCACACTCCATCCGAGACCCAGCCCCTCTCCCGACAAATAAAAGAAGAAATGAAAAGGAAGAGTTCGAAGAACACGCAAATGCGATGCCAGTCTGCGTCGATTAACGATCGACGGACCTTAAAGATGATGATGATGATGATAATCTAAGAAATTATTGAAATACACGAGAAGAGTACTATTTCGCGAGTGTTATCGTAATCTCCGCGATACTACGTGTTGCCATCGAATCATTTTCGCCAACACGTCACCCGTTGGCTTGTTGGGTTACCGTTCACACTCGGTCGGGTGACGATGATTTTTCGGCCAGCCGGTTTAAGTGCCCCCATGCCTTTCCCTGTTATTTCGGCCCTCAAGTCATTCGCGCGAGGTGGAGGAAAGCGAAAGGAGTCGCCCTGTTGATGATATATCGTCTATCTTTACGACACACGAAATGATTTACCACGAAATTCGTACTATTGTGTTTTAGACGACTTTAGATTGTTTATATTCTATTTACTTTGTAAAATATACAACACTAATTCCATATTGGAAATGTGCTCGTCTCGTGTCTGTGTTTCTTTACCTGTCCATCTGTTTCCCGTTCATTAAAGTCTAATCGCAAATTTGTTTTGAAAATATCAAATTGATTTACGCTGTGGATAACTGTACGAATGATGTTCATGTCCATTAAGGAGGCCTGACTCGAAACTTTTTAGTCGACTGCGACGTTTCGTCCCGATCCCACATTACTAGACTCATCGGTAAGGCGATGTAGTGTGGGACCTGCCTTAGACCTGGAATGAATTTAGATTGATGTTCTATTTAAAGGGAATTCGCGTGGCTAAGGTGTTCACGCGAATCCGAGCAAGTCCAGTTAGACCTCTGATGGCGAGTCGTCACAGGACTCCATCCCAATGAGGGCGCGATCCAACGGATTGCGTCGGAATGATAAGTATCAGGGACGAACGCGATGCTGCTCGATGCTACTTGGTGCTGCTCTGTGTGAGCGTGAGAGTGTGTTGCAAATACATACTAGGCAGTACGATGGGTTGCGTGGCAAACTTTGCATGGGCAGACGCGATTTTATAGACAATGACAGTGACTTTATAACATAAACTTTATAATATAAATAATAAAATTTTGTAGTATAAACTTTATAATGTATAAAGTCACTGTCATTGTCTATTAAACCACGCTTGGCCATGCAAAGTTTGCCGTGCAACCCGTCGTACTGCCTAGTATGTATCTAACACCCTGTACGAAAGCGTGCATGAGAGCGTATATATTTTAGATCACGTCGGGATCACCAATGTGGATATCTGTACGAATGATGTTCATGCCCACTAAGGAGGCCTGATTCGACTCGAAGCTTTTTGGTCGGCCGCGGCGTTTCGTCCCGGTCCCACACTACTAGACTCATCAGTAAGGCGATGTAGTGTGGGACCTGCCTTAGACCACCTGGAATGAATTTAGATTGATTATCTATTTAAAGGGAATTCGCGTGGTTGCGGTGCTCACGCGAATCCGAGCGAGTCCCGTTGGACCTCTAGTGGCGAGTCGCCACAACGCAAAGAATACAACGCAGCTTTTATAAGATGTAATTAAAAGAACTTTTTTTAATTTTACAAAGGTATTAATTTTATCATCATTCTTTCTCTATGATGTTAATCGATGCTTTTGCAATGTTGATTTTGACCATTTTTACGAAGATCAGATATTTTAACAGTTTGCAAAATAGAATTAATTTTATTTATTAAAAAAAATTTGATATCAGTTTAGTCTTTTTAAAGATAATGGGTATTTAATTGATACGCTCGTCTCAAGTCTGCGGGCCGATGCGTATATAAACAAGAATAAACAATTAATTCTATAAGCGACATGTTAAGTCGGATCTATATTAAAGCATCGACAAACGTGAATAAAAAAAATTATTTAACATAAATTCGTTACGTAACTATTTATAGCATGCTTTGATAATCGATTTTTGTTTGGTGAATGACCTAATTCGTAGACATTAAAAATGTTTACAGCAGTTATTTTCATAATTTTTTCTTTTATATTAAGTGATCTGGCGATTTAATTTTAAATGAATCTATTAATTACTTGAGAAGATTAAATTAAATATTATAATATATTCTACAAACAACCTTATGTTTATCGCTGTAACCAACGATCGATTAGTTTTGAGAGGATATACAGCAATCCTCTCAAGTCGGTAGTGTGTGTGTGTGTGTGTGTGTGTGTGTGTGTGTGTGTGTGTGTGTGTGTGCGTGCGCGCGTGTGTGTGTGTGCGTGCACGTCTACATGTGTGGGTGTATACATATTAAAGGTACATACTACAAGGGTGAAACGGGTGAAATAGTCCGCCCGGGCATGCGCCAAGCTTCCTCTCCCTTCAGATACTATGAGCGGTGGTGTCTACGGCGGTGGTAAGTACGTGGCCGCGCTCCATAATTATTCTAACTAGAAAAAGTATACATTTATACGCTACACTAATTCCACGTGGTTATCCGCGATTATTACGCCAGACGAGGTAGGTGCTATCATCTTCGACGTCGGACACCAGAACCTCCGCGTGGGATATGGCGGCGAGGATACGCCGAAGGCCGAGATCCCGACGACTCTCGGGGTGTGGGAGGAACCCACCGACCCCAGCGGGATTGACTGCAACAATGTCACCAAGAAGCACTACAACGTCGACGTCACGGCTATCCAAGTGCGAAAAAAGGGTATGCTATCAAATTTTAGTTTTTCCAATTTCAGACTTGCAAAAATCAGTTGATTAAATTATTAAATATAAAAATACAAAATATAATTAAATATAATAGAAGTGACACTTCAAAAGCGAGAATGTGTTTTAAATTATCAATTTTGTGTTTCATATAACGATAGTCTACGCATATAATAATACTTCTGCCGTGACTATAATATAATTAAAGAAACTGATATTTTAATTGTTAACATTCTGGTAAATGTTATTTAAATAAAATAAATAAACAAAATTAATAAAATAGCGTAATAAATTATTAATCATTATTAATAAGCCCATAAACCTTCTCTTCGTTATTATATTGTATAATAATAGCTTTAATCGAATTAATCAAATGTAGAAAACAGAATTCTTTCTAAGACATATAAAAATCCTACAAATAAATAAATGTTTTTCCCGCGATTAGTGAAAACTAGATGATAATCAACTGTAGAAATTCTGGGATTCTCTTATTTCAATGAAATTTCATATAAAACAATTTTATTTATATGATACTATATTTTTTTACGTAGAATTACCTTTTGATTGCATCAAAGAAAATGATCTGTATAAAATATTTTTACTTAAAATTTTAATACATATACAATTATTATAAATATTTAGTATTAAAGTAGATAATTCATTTATAATTAATCCCGTTTAGTACAAGATTAATCAGTGTAAGTAGGGGAGACCGGGGCTGGTTGTCGTACGGGGTTGATTGTCAAAATGCTTATAACTCAAACAAGACACGGCAAAAAAATCTCTTTTTTTGACTGTAGATAGTTGATATAATATTAATTTGTTGTGTAAAATGGTTTGCACCACAAGCATTGTATATATTATTTATAGCGATTTTTGAGAAAATGAAGCTGGTAAATTTTTATAATCACCTATTTTGTTGTCTGACAAGTCTTTGGCATTATTAATCGTAATATCCCTGTATTCATAGAAAATGACATATCTTAGAAGATCTTTGCTACAATTAAGTAATCATTATTCTGACTAAGTTTGTGAATACAATCTCTTTTATTAAAAATGGCTATGTGGGGTAGATTGACCAAAATGAGATGACGCGATTAGGTGACAATTAATTTTAATATCTTTAGAGGACACATTTTCAGAGAATATACTTACAAATATATTATATTTCATATAGATACATATTTTTTCATTTTTCATATAGAAACTATGATACAAAAACAAATTACGTATTTTATGATTAAAATAACTATTTTATTTGTATTAATACTATAATTACTATTATTTCTCAAAATATAGAACTGATATTAAAATAAAAATCGTGTTTTTTATATGTGTTGTCCATAACAAATATGCTACTGCCGATCCTAGAACGTGTGACAATCAACCAGAACACGGAGTTAATTTTAGGAATTAACAAATATGCTACTGCCGATCCTAGAACGTGTGACAATCAACCAGAACACGGAGTTAATTTTTCGGAATCATATTTTCGAAGCATCATTTAAAATTAAATAACTTATTTTTATGATGTGATGAATTCACGAGTAATATTTTTTTTAATACCTAAAGGATGTAGGTATATTGTAACGTATATAATATTTCAAAATCAGGCATCCACTTTTTTCTAAAAATCAATAATCAAAAACTGTGACAATTGACCCCGGTCTCCCCTACAACATCATTATTAACAAGTATTTATATTTTACTCACTTTGTTAGAACTTTCGTAATACTGAAAAGTCCGGTTTTGATTTAGATATGGAGATAGTGAGCCTGATGAAGGACGGTATGATCGACGATTGGGACATGTTTGAACGACTGACCGAGTATACATACAAGCAACGACTGCATGCCTTATCCGAGCATCATCCGATCCTGATGACCGAGTGTCCGTGGAACACAAGACTGAAACGCGAGAAGTTATTAGAGCTCATGTTCGAGAAGTTTAATGTGCCGGCTATGTATATCTGTAAGAACGCCGTTTTGGCTGCTTACGCGAACGGTAGGTCTACAGCGATGGTCGTGGACAGCGGTGCCACGCACACTAGCGCAGTGCCGGTCCACGATGGTTACGTTATCACTCAAGGAATTGTCAAGAGTCCTTTGGGTGGCGATTTCATCACTATGCAATGTAGACAGTTCTTCGAAGAGAAAGACATCGAACTGGTACCAGCTTGTCTTGTCGCCAGCAAAGGTAAATAATGTTTCACTAAAAATGCTAAATATGTATGTGGAAGAAATACAATGACATATAACTAGAGATTAGATTATTATAGCTATTTCTTACAGGATAAAATATTAGCAGATTTTTAATCGAAGTTAGAAGATATAAATTAGATTTCAATAAACTATTATATAAAGAATTCTAGTATAATTTCGAAGATTTCTGCTTACTAATTCATGTTTCTTTTAGATGTAATACGAGAGAGAGATCCTCCTCGGTGGACGAAACGACCCGGACCGCAACCATCGTCGTCCTGGCTGAGCTACATGGTGCGAGAGTTGCTACAGGACTTTCAGATGAACTGTTTGCAAGTATCGGATAGTCCCTATGACGAAGATATGGCAAATACTCTACCCATGAAGCATTATGAATTTCCGACTGGTTACAACGATGATTTCGGATCTATAAGGCTCATGATACCCGAAGCTCTCTTCGATCCTAGTAATGTTAAAGGTGTAGGCGCGAGTATTTTAGGAGTTGGCCCTCTGGTCACCACGAGTGTCGGAATGTGCGATATGGATATCAGACCAGTACGTATCTTCACAATCAAATTTGTATTACGTATAAAAAATTTATTTTGATTAGACTGAATTAGAGTGACAACCTTCTTAAGGCATTTTGAATCAATTTTGCTCACGGAAAATAACTTTGTTGAACTATCAAAATAATTACGTGGAGATCTCAAACATGATGAGCAATGTTGCAAAAACATTAACATTCTAGCAATAAGTTTGAGCATCTTATATATAAAATTATTTTGATTCTCTCTCTCTCTCTCTCTCTCTCTCTCAAACAAACAAAACTATTTTCAAATCTGTATCTAACTAAATTTTTAGATACTTCAGCAAAATCGTTATTTTTGAGTATGTACACTATTATTTGTAAAATAATAAGACACTTATGTTGCAGAGTCTGTATGGCAGCGTAGTGGTGACCGGCGGCAATTCTTGTCTTCAGGGCTTCAGTGAGAGACTGAATCGGGACCTGGGCAGTAAAACCCCACCGGTAACTCGATTTGTAATTGATATTAAGTACTTATTACGACGTTTCAAATTTCTCGATTTATAATAATTTAATTTTCACAGAGTATGAGACTGAAAATAATCAGCGCAAACAGCCCAAGCGAGCGACGTTATGGTGCCTGGATCGGTGGCTCGATCCTCAGTTCTTTGGGCTCATTCCAGCAAATGTGGCTGTCGCGTCAAGAGTACGAGGAATCCGGCAAACTCATTTTGGAAAGATGCGCGTAATTAAGTGATGGAGAAATTTGAAAAACGGTTTTCAGTAAATTAATTTTTACTCTCTTATTTTCAGTTTTAAATTAATAATCGCTTCCCAAGTAATGCAAAAAACCTTTGAAAAACATAAATTAAAATTTTAAAAGAAAATTATTCAGACAATTAGGATGTTCTTGCGATATTTTTCGTACTTTTATGTTACTTGGGTAATTTATATATTGATATAATGGAAAGAGAGGGACTCATTAATTTTTTTCATCACAGATACTAATCAAATGTTTTACGCAAACGTTAGAAGCAATTACGTAACAATTCGCACGACGGTGTAACGTAAACCGTCCTCATGAGCAACAATCATCAAACTCATTTCTGAAGCGCCTAAAGTATTATTAATAAAAACATAGAATGTGCTAAAGTTTTTCGCGATTTGCGAGAGATAATTTTTTATAGGAAAGATTTATGCAGGACGTTTCCTCGTAATCTTGCACTATAATTAGCAGAAAGTGCGATTAATCAGAAACACCTTGTATAACGCATAAATTGCGGATAAGCAATGTTTAATCTACAATTCGCTTAAACGCCAGTGTTAGATAAACACATAACACATACGGCTTATAAGAATACAGTTCCTAATTGCTCCGTGCTAATCTTCCATATATCGTATCTTTGAAGAGAAGAATCGCTTCCTGCTAAAGCCATTCCAGCAAACGTAAATGGATACAATATACAATAGATTTATCACGCAATAGATTTTTATTATTTCATTAGTTATCTTTATTAGATATTTATTTACTGAAAGCATAAATACTCGTTTTATACGTTGAGACAATAGAGACATATCCATTATCGTTTTTGTTTTAAGTTATTCTCAAAAAAAGTAACATTATCGTAAAGTAATAAAAATAGTAATAACATCGTACATTCATTATTTACTATTGATATAAAAATATTACACAAGAGTCACGCATTATTAATCTTAGAACTGCATACACATTTTTTGTTGCACACGTAGACTACATGCTGAGTCTCTCAAACACAGTTGGATATTTTTATATGTATAGATACCTAATTCTGGGAAAGCGTATATTTTTCGACAAATCTTTTTCCAGAAGATAAAAGTTCTAATCAACTTGCTAAATTGAAAAATAAATATTTAAACAAAAAGAAATTCTCAAAAATGTTAATGACGAAATCTTGTTGGATCTCGCAGATACATGTGTGTAGTTCTGGGTTTAAGAAGCTGGCGCAGATATTTTCATAAAGAAGAAATATTGCTTGAATTAAAAACCGGTGGACTATTAAATGTGACAGATAGCACAATTTAAAAGAGCAGCAACTTAAAATTCTAGTAAATCAATTCTTATTTCTCAAATCGCTCAGAATATTTCAATTACTACTTTATATATTTTACTTAGGACATAATTTATTCTATTTTTAATTTTGCAATTTGAAACTTGTAAACAAAAAAATTTATATTTGTCGCTATTATAAATATTACATAAAGATTGGATTCTTATAATATGTTAAGTTGCTGCTTTCTTAGATTGTATCGTTGAAACAATCATATATAGGCAAAAACAGAAAAATATTGATTATCTTGACTCCAAGTCACTTTATTAAAATCGACGTATATATCTATAATACTTAGAATCACAATCTTTTAATCAAAAAATGTAAGAATAATCTAAAATAGATATCAATATATCAAAGTAGAAATGTGGTAGTTCGAACCTAGTAATTTTTATATCTAATCACAGGAGTGAGTAAAAAGACGGTGTAATCCAAGTGCGCGTTATTATTTCTAATTAATCGGTAAGGTCAATTCCTTACAGTAGCTACTAATACTGAGATATCCTCAAATCAACGAGCGATTTGTTCTCGACGGTGCGGAATCTTGAGAACGCACGAAAATACTTGCGTATTTCGTTTCATCGCAACAAGTCGGAAATATTATGGAAACGATGTAAAGATCAACAACTAATAGTAATCTCGGAATATATCTCTACGATATCAGCACTAAACAGGTCTACAGTACAAGTCAAAATTTAGATATGTTTATAGAAGAAATATAGATTTACAGTACAATTTTCAAAATTTATACGCATATCGTGAAACAAATAGTATCTATAGTACAGCAGGATCTAGAGAGAAAGAAATTCTTTCGTTCCGCAGCGAAAACACAGATGGTATTCGTGTATTACATGTTACGTCGCCTATATATATTATGTATATTTAATATGCGACATGTACTGCAATATGCCCTGTTCCTAATCTTTTAAACGTTTGTACCGAATAAAGCTCGGATATTTGTAATTGTAATACATCGTAATCCAATGTGAACTGCTTAAAAGGCGCTTATAATGAATCTACAATATTTTTGAAAGCGACACGGTTATGACTTTAAAAATATCATTTAGGAAATATTTAATAAATATTAATATTTATAAAATATATTAAAAGTAATAAACTATATCAAAATTCATCACCGTGCCGCCTGCATTCTGAACGTTTGCTTTATTAATATTTCCTCAAGATTTCGTAGATTCGAATACTCCCACAAAGCTAAAAGTTTAACCGGACCGGAATTAATTTTATGATCCGTTAATAATTTTATGATCCGCGAACGCGCGATTAAACAATTGCATACATTTGACCTACATGCAATCGTTAAATTAATAAAAGAAACGCTTCATATTCGCCGCTAATCATCGGCATATTGTGTTGAGGAACTTTTTAAAGTAAGTTTCCGCAGAAACTTTGTTTCACTAAGTATCGGGTGAACCATCACGATATCTTTAACTACCTAATCGCGTCGGTTGCGGTAATTTACAAATGGCATTGTGAACAGGCATGGACAGCCAACCGGCCAACGCAATTCCGATAGAGTCTGCCATCGACGCGATTCCCAAAGAAGCTTCGCGATCCACCTTTGGAATCTATAAGAAATTTCACGCCAAATTAATTTTAAGTAGTATTGAAAAATATCATTAGATGACATTTTTTTATAAAATTGTAGAGGACTCAACGAATTAATTTTTTGCAAAATATAAATTAACAGTAATATTACATCACTATTCTAATTTCCCACTCGACAATATAAATGTATTGTAATACATGTTGTGTATAATAGTTACATTGCTGAAATTATAACATAAGAAATTGTAACATTAATATAAGTTACTGTTAGTTTATGTTTTGCAGGTTTTGTTTGATTTGCATAGTTTTTAATTTTAACTTATTTCTTAAATAAAGATGTAGCATCATTACCTCAGTCGACATTCGATAGAACGTGTTCACATATGCTCCGCCGCCAAGCAAACCCTCCCACAATACAAGAGCAAAAACGATCCATATATTTGGTATGAAATAATAGAGGGTCTCGAAGAAAAAGAGTATAACATTAAAGAACTAAAAGAAATACAATGAGTTTTAGATCGTATAATCTGTATTTTTTATTCGACTTCCTGATTCCGGAAGTTTTATTACCTGCAACACGGACATAATCCAAATTTTATTAATGGTGACCAGGTTCACCGATGACCTCGAGATAAATACACCTATTTGATAATCCACTTGGAGCCATCTGTATTGTTCGGAGTGTGTCAACCAAATATCTTTGAATTCGATAAGCTCGTACTATAAACAAAGTTTCGCTTAATTATGAAATTAATGAGCTAAATAATATATTCGCAATGATGAAGCTGATAAGTCATAGACGATGCCTGACGATGTAATTCCTGCATATACTTTCCTCTTAAAAATCAAAATAGGAATTGATTTGATTTAACAAGAGCATAAATAAACGTGGCAAAATTATATAATGTTTACAGAAAGAAAAAGATTGTAGGTATATAATTAATAGACAAGCAAAGTAAAGATATGTGCATATATAGTGAAAAAATATGGAGATTGTAGCGGAATGTCATTACCAAGCCTTGATTGATGAAGTATTCAAATAGGTAAACGAGCCCAAGTGGTATCATGTACTTCAGCAAGCCAGGTACTAAATTAATCTTGTCCCTGAAAGTCTTTTCAGGGATCTTGATGATTTGTTCTTGACTATCGATGCCGTTCTTGGTGATTGGAATTCTGGTGTGCGTCGGGTGTTTGAGGATAACCCAGAACGTGATCGCTTGCAAAAATGGCACTACCAACATGACTAACAATGTATTCTCGATAGATAGTACCAAGGTGAGCCCAGCGTAAGATACAGCGCCGATTACCCCGGCACCGCCCGTGCCCGATGACCATGTCGAGATCACTTGCCTGCGAGAAAATTAATAACAATTAATGATAAGAAAATTCCAAACATCTGAGAAGCTGATAAAATAATAGCTAAAGAGACAGAAGTTAAAATTAATATAAGCTTATCTTACAATTTTCGCATTTCAAATCATCTGACATTAAACCTTAATAAATAGGTTACTCGTTATCTAACGAGTGTTTGTATTACGCGACTCTTCCGCTTTTGCATTTGTCTAAAATGACAGTACAACATCTTGAACGATAGAATAATTCCCAGTGTAGGTTCTTTTACGTTTTACAAGAGAGTGATCAGTGATTAGATTATGATTAGCCGTCGTAATTGCTACTGTGTAGTTATCCACGTGATTATAAACGTGATTACAAACCTATGTCCAAGCTGGTAATCTTTACCCGTGCAGTCTTTTATCTTATTTTTCTTGATATGATATAAATCGTGCACGTATATTTCATATGTATACTTTTAGATCTGAACTCGCTGGCGTTGCATTATATTATCGCTATTTCTCTGTTACTGTTTAAATATTTATACTACAATTCTGGAAATATATTCGCCGTCGTGGCAACAGATGACAAACTCTGACTCTTAAATATGCTGCCTCTTAAATTGGAGCCGACTGCTTCTTAAATAAAAACTTTATTGCCCTTCGACATTCTACCTTATATTTTAATATACGTTAAAAGTGTAAATTCTACACTTCTTACATCTTTTTTCATTCCTTCTACTGTTCCCAAAAAATTACTTTCTAAAGCATAGAAAATTATATCCCAAAAATGAAATTGTCTACCTTCATTTTATACACGCATTTGTTTTAAATATAAATTACACTTATTACAATTAAATTAATATAAAAATTCTATGCAGCGAGAAGCTGTTAAATCGATGATCTATATATTTCTGCCGAGAGCTATAAAAAGTTTCCGGTGTATGCAAACAAGCGAGAATGAATATAACGCATCTGTAATATGGTAGTAACAAATAGACAGTATCAAATGAAATGTACACACTTACTTGGAAAACTGATTACTGTAACTGAGAAGAGTAACTTCACCCAAGCCGGAAGAAAGCGACGTTATAACGACGCCCATAATAGCGATCCATTCGGTAGTACTCAACGACACCATGATGAATCCTGCAGCGGAAAATAACACACAGGTAGCCAGTCGAGCACTGTAATTAATGAGTCGATTGATCGATTAGCGATTAACGGTTGGGGCCGGTTGCTTGTACAACCGCGGAAAGGACTTACGCGATATCCGAGGCTCCGTTGTGCGCCGGATGAGAGAGGTTTTTAAAAAAGGAAAGGAAATATATCGAGAGAAAAAAGACAGTGAGGAGTAATAACACTCGGATTGCACGCTCGATTTTATATTTGATTAATTTTCCATATAATTTGTGCACTTTGGACAAATCTTGAATTTTTTTCTAAAAAATGTATACGTCTTATAAAAGAAATTCATTATTAATCTAATTAATTAGATAATATTTAAAAAAAATTATTTTACATAAAAATTTAGATGTACTGATAATTTTTTTACATTATATGTATACGAAAAAAATGAAGGCATTTAGAAAGTTAATACTGCTAGTTAAGTTAAATCCAGTGTGCTACGGTTTTGTTTTAATCACCTTTGGTATTTGCGTTTTATCTTAGACTATACTAACATAACTAAGCTATACTAACATAACTAATCTTGAGCTATAATATTATATGGAATACCCGAGCGTGGAATCTCTGCAGATGTCAAGATAAGACATTTTAATCTTACAGAAAAATGTTCGAATATTAATACAATAAATTACACAACGCGAGAAAAATTGTGTAGAATCTGGAAGACAATAAAATGTTTTGCGAAAAAAATGAGTCACACGTTGCGTTCAGTTCTGTCATCACTTCAATTATATTTAATGAGATTTAATAATTTTATGGGAGGTAATTTGTTTTGTAGTGTTCACTGGCTTTATTCTGACAAGTAATCTCTGGATAACGCTAAGATGCACAAGAGTGCACTTCGTAGCATTAAAACGCAGTTAAAAGAAAAAAAAAGGAGAAATAAAGATACTCACTGCACTAGAAATGGTAGAAACGGCGCCGTTATCTTGATTGCCAGTGCTGGCAGAATGTCTGCCAAAAGTATGGCACCGGTTGAAACCGTGTTGCATGTACGAGTCGTGTTCGATTGATGTTCCGTCATGTTCATGTCGTTTGTGCTTGACGTGTCATTCTAGAAGAACATAAGAATATTTATAATTACTAATACATATTCATTTGAAATAAAAATTAAAGAGAAAGTATTTAAAACAATTAAAAAATTTTAAAAAGTATTTGAAAAAGGAGAGATTTTCCGAAAAATTTAATTTGCATACTATCTTTATACAAATTTTTGGCAATATTAAAGATCTCGTTTTTCAATTTTTATTCTTTTTACAATAAGTTCGCTTCAAAATATAAGAGTAATTTTTGTTTTATGCAGTAAACAGAACGTCAAAAATAATAACGTAATTAATATTTTACGAGTATAATATTTCTGCACGTGACAAATTAATTCTTGTTACACCTGTCTGGTTTACATAACATGTGTAACAATTCAAAAAGTTCGATAAAGAACAGCTGTCTACCATAAATACGACGCAAAAAACACTGGTTGCACAACATAATAGTGTCATGCTGCTTTATCGATGACACGTTTTTTTCACTCGGAAATCCGGCCGGACGACATAAATTATTAAAGTACGACGATTTTTCTCGTTTAAGAGGACGTTGAATCATTACACTATTAGAAACATTATAGCGCGGATTTATCAATTTATATTGCTAAACTGCGTAAAACCGAATGATTAAATCAATTGGAATGCACAATTTGCATAATGCTAATTATAATGTTGGTCTACAAATCGTTAGAAAATTTTCCATAGAACTTGCACGAATATTTAATTACATTTCAGATTGGTATCGTATATCGGCACGAATTTAATCGATACATAAGTTGTTAGAATCACATCATTGACCTAGACCACACAAAGTTGAAAATTACCAATTGATATTTTGATCAATGTCAATTGCAAAAGACTGACTTAAGAAGAAAAATTATTAATATTTACTCTTATTAATTGTGTCAATTCAGTTGTAGTTATTTTGTGCGAATATTCGAGATTAATTTTTATATTAAAAATAACGAATGTGCACACACATAACACACACACAAACTAATATAACTTTTATTTAATGTTAAATTAATTGTAAATTATTTATCATCTGAAGTATAAATTGTTACAATTAATTAACAAATAGATTTACTGTGTTTCATCAAATAAGTAAGTCGAGTAGTTTCTTAATAATAATAACTTTATATGTTCTTTGTTTGCAACATTGCACTTTCAAATCTAGATTGATAAGTCTGTGTGTATTTATAAATAAGATATCTTACGTGAGCTTTACTAAGAAACGCATTATCGGATACCGTTTCTCATATTGTTCAACTAATTTCTAAACTGATTGATAACAGATCATTTTCAAGAAAATATGGAGATAACTTTACATCCGATAAAAAATTATTAATTAGGTAAAAATTAATTTGATTACACAATTAATTTGATTACACAATTATCTCATAAAGCTGTTCTTTATCGAACTTTTTGAATTGTTACACATGTTGATACAATAAAAGAAACAAACTATATCTGTTTCACTTCAACTTATTGCACTGTGTGCATTAATTCAGAGAATTTAACCATCAAGAATAGGCCTAATATCATCTTTATCTCGCCTGAATTTCAAAGATTAATCTCAAATATTCCATTGAATCTTAAAAGTTTATTAGAATAAACGTTCCAAATTATAACTTTATGATAACCTTAATCTAATTATATTTATTTTGAAACACTATGTATGATTTTCTTAAATAATGTTAGAATTTTAATCCAAAAAATAGTTATAATTCTAAATTAAGATAATTATTTCTTTTTATAAACAATGCGCGAGAATCATGAAAAAGTATTCAATTTGTATTTTAATATTAAAAGTATTATAAATAATTTGTTAAATTATTAGTTCTAATTTAATAAGAATATAATTTGAAGTGATATAATTTTTTAATTTATTTTCTCCAAGTTTTATCAGATTTAAAGGGAAGCCTCCAGCTTTCTTCGCGCGACAAATAATAAAAAAAAATCATATGACTACTCACTTGTTCACCGAATTTGCTCTTTAGGATGTCGTGGGCCGCGCTGAGCATCACGACATAGCCGTAATTGTTGCATAGACCTAGGATCCAGAATGCTACGAGATTGCGCCATTGTACCTTCTTCAAAATAGCTTCTTCGTCGAAAAAATTCTTGGTATTCGAAGTTGTCAGAACATTTTTATTCATTTTGAAGACCAGTTTCGAGAAGGGTACTTTTTTGCTTCTACTGATCTTATTCCGTTTTCTTCCTCGTTTTTTTTAAATTTTACCAATCGTCGTTTTTCTTCTTTATTTATCTCGTTCTGTCTCCTTATCTCTGTCTTTCTTCTTTCCTTATTACTTTGATAACCGTTCTTTTCTTTATCTTTTTCTTGGAGTACGTGCACGCCTGCTAAATCGGTTTGCTACTTGTAGAGTCGCTGTCCTTTTTCTTTTTTCTCTATCGGTCTATCTCTTTCTTACTAATTTTCTCTTTTCCACTTTCCGTTGCTTCGCTTATTCTATCGTTATCACCGTTTTGTCTTCAGTTTCCCTTGACCGAGCGACTGACTTGGCAGTTGCTTATCTTTTTAGACTAAATGTAGCGTTCAGACTTAAGAAACTTTATGTTGATAATCGCAGAATATAACATGAGAATAATTTTTGTGTTCAACATAACGTTGTTTGGCTTATGTGTAAGGTTAGTGATTGATATCGACTCGCTGTTTTACAGTGAATTATTCGCATAAACCAAAGCGTTAAGTACAACGTATTTCGTTTTTCACAAAGAAAAAGAGATCATTTCGCTCTAATTAAAAATACGATAACTACATATTGTTTCTATCGATTCTGCAAATCCTGCATTGGCCTGCCTTTTACAGTAATTGACTTAAATCACAATAGTTTAGGAGGTTGCTGATAAAAAATCACATGAAATGGAACACAACCCCTTTTTCTTCGTAACTGAGAGAATATTCTTGCGATGAAGAAAAATACATATTATCTCGGTTGATTCTGCAATGAGTTCTCCAATGGCCTTCTGTGTAATCGATGAATATGAAAATACCTCAGCTACTATGAGTCATGAATCATCCACAGAACACGTGATACTAACATTAAGTTCAATGTCTTCCTTCGTAAACAGAAAAAATATTCTATTCAAAAATAAATATTAGACTAATACCACAAATACTTCGATTTCAATATTTATCAGATATTCTCTTGATATTTAATCGAGAACATAGCAAAATGTAACTTTCTTACAAGTCGCGTTTTCCTTTGAGACTTTACTATATAAAAAAATCCACGACCTACGATGCGCTGGATGCACTTTGCTCGAGAATAACACCAGTTTGCGATTTCTACCTTCAGTTACTTTCTCGCTCCACCGTACGTGCACATTCAGGCTTCGAGGAACTTCTCCAATCTTTCTCCTCCAACTTTTCCTTTCTGTCACGAATGCACTTCTTTTAGGATGCTAGGATAGTAGATTGTTGACACCGAATTTGAAATTGTGCTCCTCACAATTTTCTCGATGGATAAATGGCGCTTATTTCTATTTTGGAATTGTGTGACCAGGTTAAAAATTTGAGGAACAAACGATGATTGAAGATCAAGATCATCTTACCGCTAAATTTGGATATCTCTAATGGATGAACTTTCCTCTCGAATGCAGGTTTTTGCATAGATCGAGCAAATCCTTCGAAGTTCAGCGACTGTTAATGAAAAAGATAGAATGAGATAATTACAATCATACTGATTGGACAATAATAATTGCTGATGAATTAAAAAAAAAATATGTTCGCATCGACATGTCTTAGAACAATATATGCATGCTCAAGATAGAAATAGTACATTAATATTTATAGCTACTTTAAAGATAACAAATAATTTACATTTGCATTATATCGTATAAATGTACCATTTTAATGCTTTATATTATTTTTAATCATATATATTTATATCTCTTACTCCGATTCTTACATAAATTTGCATCACATTCAACGATCACCTCTATGTCTAATACTTTCAAGTGCCTCCAGTTAAGTGATACTAAACTGCATTTTCTACGCTACTATTCAAGGATAGGATTATCGCGCATTTTCGCACGAACAGACATAAGGAAACCCAATACTATCTTATGTATTATTCGTGGAATTCGCGTTATTTAATTTCCCTAACATTCGAATAAGCACGAATAATTTAATCTGGAAATTCATGTTCACATGTGTGCATTTTATGAAAATGAATTTCGAGGAATTTCAAATTGTATTATACAGGTTTTTTCAAGTTGATAGTATTTTTAGAAAAGTGACGTGTTGGAAAATTTTGGAGTGTTCCTATACTCAAAATGTTATCTTACAATGTCTTACATCAATGTTATCTTACAAGTCATATTACATGCGTATTTTTATTACAATATGCGTGCCAATGTCTTCGATTTATTTTGCACGTGTCGTTTTATATGAATTTAAATTTCGTCATTTATAACGTCATTAATATGACTTGTAAGATAACATTGATGTAAGACATTGTAAGATAACGTTTTGAATACAGGAACACTCCAAAATTTTCTAACACGTCACTTTTCTAAAAATACTTCTGCAATAATTTTACCATTATTTTATAAATACGTATGACGTATAAGCAAACATACTTTTCCAATAAAACGCAAATTTAAACTTGAAACTAGAAGAAATATATCGTCTATCTATTCTTTCTTTTTTTTTATTTGTCAATACTTCTGTGTAAACTTTTCCACTATCTTCCATGTTTATTGCAACGCAATTGTGTCGTAACAAATAGCGCAGATTGCAAAACATGTTATCTAAGAAAAGGAACAACACAAAAATGAGCAAAATAAACATTCCTGAATGATTTTTGTTTGTGTAACGAAGCACTTATTACGGTTGTTGAAAACGAAATGAGAGATAATAAAACAACAAGTGCGTTTTGGCATAATTTGCTTTTGTTTGCTTTAAACGCATCGATGATTTAAGTCGCTAATTTTTAAATCTTTTCTTAGTACGGAATAAAAATAAAGTAAGTCATGTTCACAGTTTGTTATCTCATGTTTCTCAAGAGGTTATTGCATTCGTTTTTTATACCGCTATTTGTCAGTCATATTCTGGCCGTTAATTTTTTTTAAGTAATCCACTTCCGAATGACTTCCCACATCTCCGATGTCAATCCACACGCTTTATCACGACTCACATCCGCTAAGGATAACAACTCGCTGCACAGTTTGCATGCAATGACTTTTGGACACACGACTGACGTGTATTTCGTACGCGATTACATGTTATAACTGTCCCATCTTCAACAATATTCAGTTGATTGTGCAATATAATCGCGACAATATTATTATATTGATAAAGGAAGCCCACTAAAGCGAAACTCGGTCAAATGAAATCTTCAAGCCCGAACGAATCGACTAAATAAGTAAATTTAGTCATTAGTACTAACACTTTGGACTTGTTCTGTATGATTGTTGAAATGCAATTTACTTTCTTATTGTACTGCATTATTTATTCAAGGGCCATGACTATTATTTAAACGATTTTATTTACGTATGCAGTTCTTTCTCGGTGCATATTGACTTCCACTTCAATTATTTAAAAACATCGCTTGCGATAAGACAATTTTACTTCTTCTAATCGAAAGATATTATTGGTGTCAATAATTAATGTCAACAAAATCGAATAATATAATCTATATAATATTACTAATAATAAAATGTATATAAAATAATAATATAATAATTTTCATTTCCTTTATCGTCAAAGTGTCAAACTAAATTACAATTGAAATTAAGACTTAAAACGTTTTACTAATGAAATTGATCCTAAATGATCTGCTTGTAATAAGTAGCATCTAGTATTACAAACCTCGTATACCATTACAAATCTAGTATTACTATATATATGGTCTTTGTAAAACAGAGATTTATTATTAGTCGACTAGCGAGTCCACGGTGACGACTTAAATAGATCGGACTGACTGGAATACTATGGCTGCGTTCCACTTAACGCTCGCAACGCTCACGAGCATCGTTTGTCCTTGTTTAACATTTGATAAACGACAAGGATAAAATAATTCCACGAGTATTGTGAGCGTTAGGTGGGACGCAGCCTATTTGTTTATTGTGCTTTTATCGTTTTGCTCCTAAACCGTTCTATTAAATTTAATAATAACGCGTAGCTGTAGAAGATATTTATTCATATAAGCTATTGAAATAACTCAAACATAAATGCATTCGTCCATACTAATTAATTATTTTTTTAATATTTTCATATAATAATAATTATACAATTGTATTTTACACTAAATATAAATCTTTAGGATTTTGAATAAAAATTAAAACATCTGTAGAAAAAATACGAAGAAAGCATGACGAATACTGTCTTTCGTTAACTTTGTAATATAATCTAAACTATTGTATTTATATAATGAAATCACGAATGAAACTTAATTGAAAACGATAATTAAATTTTGTATTATCTGTGTGATATAGTTACATCCAAGATTTATAATTAGGGCAGTATACTGATGTTCATGTTAGTTATCTTTCTTTTTCTCAACGAAAATATGATAGAAAAAGAAAGATAATAATCGTGAATGACACACATCAAGTTAAAATTCAGAATTACAAATTGTGGACAGCATTATAAGCTTAATTATAGTCAATCTTTTAATATAAAAAAGGAACTCTTATTATAATTTAAATATCAATTTAAATATCAAATATTGCAATATATTAAAGTTTTTATAAATATGAAAGTAAAATATAATATAAAATATAATTATGATTAGAACAAAAAATTAACTTGAACTTTGCACATTATAGAGTTGTAATAGAGATTAAATACATGTAACAGAACCTTTTTTTCTTAATGTAATGTATAGTTTTCAAATAATCGCAAAAATACTCACTCAAATTTTATCTGAAGAATCCAGTAAGGGATAGATTAAAGAATCTGTTATACAATAATTTTTATCACAAATAAAACAATCACAATATAAAACGAGCAAGTCATAATGGTCTCAAAAATGGCAGCGTGCAACTCCAAATCGAAATTACCGAATACTAGCAAAGAGACTGAGATGATTATTGTCCCAAAAAATCACAAAGTATCTTGAGAAATAATTTAATCGCCGTCGAAGTTTGATATTACGATCGATAAATACATAAAACCCGCAATCGGTATACCATGGCTCTCACGACGAGTTTCAGTTCCAGAATAAATGAATTCTTGACAAAATCGGTAGATATACGTCGACGTAAGCGCAACCACTCGGTAGGATTCACAACGGCATTTCGTTCTTGAATGGTTCTGAATCATTCGTGACTCGAGCCGCCGTTTAGTCAACTCCTGACCGTCGAGCTGGTCAGAACTTATCTGTCAATAACAATAATGCAAGCGGAAGAAAGAAAAATAGGAAATAAAAGAACAAATTTTTGTAATCAATAAAAAATTCTTTTAAAAGATAATATACGTAACAAAACACATGTATTAAAATTTAATTAGCAAAAAATAATAATAAAGTTAGGCAGTAAAGATAAAAGAGAGAAAAGGCAAAAACAATTTTATTGATTCCTGAAAAAATTTGTTAACAAAATTAAAGAAATATAAAACTAAATCAAAATTACAAAAAAAGAAATAATTATAAAGAAAAATGAAAATAACGTTTTCAATAAAAACTGTAATGAATGAAATAGAATTAAAGAACAAAGAAATAGTGTGTAAAACTTATTTTTGTTAAGAAAATGTAATGTTGGCTCAATCTAACAAACTATTGCAAATATTTATAACAATGGTACTTCAAATTTATGACTCAATCCGATACAGACCGAATCATAAATTTAGGCTGTATATTCGTGAAAATAAATGTGCATGGTTCTTTAAGAGAATTCTCGTTTCTACACATTATGCTATAAAGATATCATTTAATACATCTGTATATTCGAGAAAGATAACGATTGATGTCAATCATCGACACTCATTGTTATCATGCTTTAAAGAAGCGACAACGTGATAAAACATAAAACGATGTGTTTCAATAAAAATATATTTGACGTGCGGCAGCTAATAAATAACATTTTAATAAAAGATAAGAAATAAAATAATATATTCTTGTTGCCTTTATTACGAAATTCGAAAGTTACACAATTGAGTATGAAAAACATTGTGGATCTACTTGTGCAGCGAAGTAAAGATTTTGACTAATGACTTTATAGCAATTCGCGGAATACTATATTTTTATCTTTTTATATTAGTATGATCGAAGAGTATCAACGTGACATTGTAATATTATCGATTCAATGACATTTCCTAGAGAAAAAAAGAGGGTCATGGTTCACTGAGAACCTTCGGCGACACATATAACATTGTATGCATAATGTTAAGATGAACTCAATTAATTAAAGTAAGCATATCTCTTTATTTTTTTGTGTGTAAAAGAGCTGTAAAAGAGGAATCTCATTATTATTATTCACTAGTTGGAAGGATTGAAAGACATTTTTAAATCGAGAGATTTAATCCAAGAGATTAGTTAAAAGATATTTTTAAGTAGTTATAACAAAACTTTCTCGTATATATTTATGCTTTTAATTTTAAATTCAAATAACAAACTTTAATTTAAACACACCGACATATCTACAAGCACTTCCGATGAGATTAATAAAATTGATAGATAATTGATGTGCGTGTAATAACAACATTCTTTAAAAGATCAATATACATAATCATACGATATTTTGACATCGGCATACGATAATTCCTTCTTTTCTTTATTGTGTAATGTGAGATCAGCCTCCAAAATGATGCAATATTTGTTAAGCAATAAATTCTTGAAACATGTTTTTGTCTCCAACTAACATATTAATTAATATCATAAATTTTTAATTAATTTGTTCTAATCGTTCTTATACTTATGTCTAATTATTATAAATATAAAAGAAATACAATGACTCGATTCTAATAAATCAAAACATACTACTACATTATATAACAAGATATTTTTAGAAGTATATGTTTTATATAATAGGCATCAAAGATTTGATATTAATTTTAATATGACTGTTTATAGACATGATAATACAAAGATAAACTTTTTATATCTGGACTGATTTAGTTATGCAATTTTGACATCGCTTATGGAGCAAAAATTTCTTTACCAGTAATTTTGACTATTCTTTATGATTAGATATTCAGACGTTTTTATTTGTTAAGATTTATATATTCCGACGTTATTATTTTGTAATTTCAAATTTGTTTCCTAACATTGAAAATGACTCGATTGAAGTCGAAACGTTTGTGTGTAATATAATATTATTAAATTGTTTTATGTATTTACATCTGGCTCGTTGCTCAACCTTGTATGTTTTGGTCTAATTATTATATTTTAAATTTTAATATAAAAATTATATGTATTCTAAATCATTCAAGATAAATAATACAGCTTTAGAAATCAAAAAAGAGATAATAAAATTTTGATCAAATAAATGTCGATTATATTTTAAAATCAAAATTAATAAATGAAATAAGTTCAAACGATTAAATCTAACAAGATAAATAATGTCGATATGAGCCAATACAGGATATTCGAGTGTAAATTACATCATTTATTAAGCAAGTAAAGACACGTAATCCTCGGTTCGGGTCCTCATCAGAACAATTAACAACGCAAAAATCAAAAACAAATTATTCGGAAAAAAGCGCATTAAAGAAAGAATGCTCTAATACGTGAGTTAATGATTAAAACTATTAAATGTCCAATATTTGTCGAAACTTGGTCATTAAATTGTCCGATTTGCTATATAAGAAATACAATCATTTTTTATTATGTCGGAGAATCACGATTTTATGAAAAATAATGTCATTTACATGAAGTCAAACAAGTTGTGGAAACTATGAGTAACCATATTGTTATTAAATTGTCCGATTCACTATTTAAAACAAAAATAATGTGAGAAAATTGGTCAATATTAACATTTTTTAACAAATTATTTAAACTTACGTAACAAAAAGAACGAGACTTTTCACGGAGATGCTGATGATTCGAGCAATAGACACACAATAAGTTACAAGACAAATCGCACAGAGTACCAAAAAACAAATTTTGTCAGATATAGAAGGAATGAAAAACCATTGTTTTTTTTTACTTCCAAAATCTGTTCACTATGTTTCTGACATTCAGACCCTATGTAATTTAATTGATCAAAATTTTTATAGAGACTTCTTCGTTGTGAAGATTAAACTCAAAGGATAACCATTATTTAGTAGAATCTTAATGATATTATTAAAATTATTATAATAAAA